GGAACTATGAATGAATTATTACTAATCATTACTAATAGCTGGATCTCCTGTAAAATTCTATGAAGCAATGTGATTCTATAAGAGAAATCTAGTCTGGAAAAGCTTCAGTTTTGAAAGCTCTTTTTACATTTCTTTCAAAGCATTGAACAGTTTCATAAGACACAGTACAACAGAGCAGTAACTCCACAGAGTAGGAAGAAAACATTTCTTGTAACAGGAAAAATATCAAAAAATTGGAAACAGTTTTAATTTGCAAATAAATATATGTAAAACAGTGAACAGAAAAATTGCCTCTTACTCCTCAAGAATTAGGCAAACACAGGATAGCTCCAAATGCTGCTTTTGGTGTGAGATTTCAATCGTATCATCATGACAGGATTCCTGAGCATTAAGTAGCCATAGAGCCACATTAATTATTGTACCACAATCATTTAGCCAACGGAGGCAGAAAAACAGATTGTTAGATTAACTGCAATTTCAGATCCACTTTTTATTTCTCTCTATCTCTGTTGTTTCCCTTTTCAATTATGGGATTACCAACTTTGTTTTATTTTTATTAAATGTACTCATCTTAGTGCTTTATAATTATCGATCAAACCAGCTACTTATATTATGCATGCATATTAAAAATCAAATAACGATTTTACAGGAGATCCAGCTATTAATAATAATTCTTTCGTAGTTCCCCCAATTCTGTTATTTCTCTTATCAAAAAGAAAAATTCAGCAAAGATAAATATAATACCTTTTCTTAGTCACCATCAGGAGCTATTCATTTGGAAGCACCCTTTTTCAAAGAGAAGAACACAGTACTTCTTTTTCTTTTTTTACTGTGACCCTGAGAAGATAGACGAAGTTCTGCCCTGGTATTGATCCTTCCATATATATTTAAAAACAAATAAAGAAAATCAAATAATTTTTCCAGGAAATCCAGAAAAGGAGATCTATCAAACTGGCTAGCTAAAGGAATGAATGAATGAATGAATGAATGAATAAATGAATGAACAAATAAATAAATAAATCTGTGATTAGTCCTGAATGCAGTAAAGTATGGCGCAACTAAATATATAAGAATTTAATCTAAACATTTCTAAAGGTAAGGCAGCATCATGTCTCAAAGATTTTTTGCTCCTCCCCAATAGTTCAATCTTCAGGTGAGTTTGGTCTGTGTGTACGGGTGCGGGTCTGTGTGCGTCCTACAGCTTAAGGCTGCAATTAGCCCAAGTGAGGCGTCGTTCCGTTCCTATCTAGCCTTCTTCTGAGCTCAAAGCCGTCTTCCCCCCCCCCCAACATCCCCCCCCCCGGACTTGGATTGTGGAACCCATTAGAGAACCAGTCATGAGAAAGTCATGAGGGCGGGACTGAAGGAGGGGCGGGCAAGGTCGGAGCGGCTCAATTAAGAGGCAGGCGAAGTCTGGCCCTCAAGTTTCACGCCGGTGGGCTACCGCTAACCCGGGGCGGCGAAAGAGAAATACGGAGCCGCGCTGCAAAGAGGAGCAGCGTGAACTCGCCGGCGCGCGGCTCTTCCCTCTCACGCCACGCGACTTACCATCCGCATCGCGAAGCTTACAGCTGGCGGGAAAAAAAAAACCCTCACCAGTCTGGCGGCAAAAAGGAGCGGAATCAGTCAGCAGGAGGAGGAACAGGAGGCGGGGTCGGCGAAGATTGGCACTTCTCCTCCGGCTCCGCCGCTGCATGACAGGCGAGGAAAGGGCGGGCGACTTGCCTTGGATTGCTGCAGCGCCGTCGATCGGTCTCGGATGACCCTGGGCGCGAGGGGTGCGGGTATGCGACGATTGGTGGCCAGGCCTCGTTGAGTAAATTAAGCCCTTCGAAGAGCGCCAGGCTTGACAGCTCTGTTCTCAAGTGGTAACTTATTTGACTGGGTTATAATAAACTGCTACTCCGTGAATAGGCGTGAGGTGGAGCAGGTTAGCTGCAGTATTGAACTCTAAAGTTGGAGAGTGGGAATCGAAGCCGATTGACAATGGGAAGCCACCGGAATTTTGCCGGGGGGGGGGGGGGAAGCAGAGCACTTTCTCTTGCAGACAGGAAATGAAAAAGCAGAAATAAATGGTGGCTGTTTTATTATTTCTGTACAGTAAAACTTGGTATAGGGGTTAAGGTAGCAAGCTAGCAACTGGGAGACCATGAGTTCTCATCTTTCCTTTGAGTCGCTCATTTTCAGCACTAGGAAAAAAGCAGGAAGGGGAAGCCACTCCTGAAATCTTGCCAAGGAAACTGCAGGGGCTTGTTCATGCAGTTGCCAGCAATCGCTGTCTAGATACACCAAAAGTCCATAGAGTGAAGAGAGCTTTGCGGTCAAGTGTCAAATTGATTAAGGCACAAGGGAAAAAAATGTGATATGAAGCGGGATGTCAGGATCCCTCTGGAACAGTGGTTCTCAATCTTTTTAATGCCGCGACCCCCAACTGGTCATAAGTCGAGGACTACTCAACCGGTCGTAAGTTGAGGACTACTCAACCGGTTGTAAGTCAAGGACTACTCAACTGGTGCAGCACCGTTTGCGGAATGGGACTTTTGGCGGGCTCAGCAGGGCAGAGACAGCCTGGACAATTCCTATTGGCTTTTGAAAGCCAATAGAATTAGACTCTATTCAAGAGAGTCTATTCTATTGGCTTTCAAAAGCCAATAAAATAAAAGGGAGTAGCACAGCTAAGGAAAAGGGGAAAAAAAATGGCGGACTGCATTGTTTGAAATGGTCGTTTGACCCCAAATGGGGTCCCGACCCACAGGTTGAGAACCACTGCTCTGGAAGATTAAGACTTGAATCCTGTTTTGGAAGAATGAGCAATGAACCTCACATTTTACTTTTTTGTTATCAACTGCCTTTAGGATTCCTACTGAGTTGGTATCAGTTAATAAACATACATGTGGCCTTAGAGTTAGAATAGTGAACTTTGAATCTCTCTCGGATTTTACATTGCTGTATATACTTTACTTGATTTAATTTATAAAATGAATTACTGGATTGTGCACTTAAAAACTGCATATTTTTGAAAAGAGACAGTTCAATGGAAAAATTAACTACAGGATGTAACCAACATTTCTTCATGGGAATCATGCCACTAACCAGGATTTCTTCGTGGAATCAAGTCAGTCAGAGAGTAATAGGCTCTTATGGAAGGGATTGGATGAATGCATGAACAAAAAACCTTGCATATCTTTTTAGCTCTTTTCTGTACCATTGAATGATGGTAATGGTAAACTTCCAGATAGGTTTATTGTCCTATATAATTACCCTTCTCATAAAAACTTCCAGATATACCCTACTTCTAATAGGTTTTTCCATTACAGTTGTATATCATTTAAAAGTCAACAATTACAAATGGAAAATGACATTTTCTGATCCCACTGGAAAATGTCAAGTAGTGTGATTGTACAGTAAGAAATATCTAGAGCAGTGATGGCGAAACTTTTAGAGACTGAGTGCCCAGAAGCTGGCCCCACCCCCGCTCCATCCCCTGCCCTGCCCCCCCACCTCCACCCCACCTGCCCACAGGACCACTCACTGCCTCCAGGGCCTGCCGCAGATCGCCCAGGCAGCCTAGTAGCGCTATGGCAGCCACAACCTCTGCCCGCACCCTGCAGCATCAACCACATGATGGAGTGTGAGGGCAGAGTCTTGTCTATGCTGCTTGGCTGCCTGGGGCAACTTTCCTTCAAGGGGGCTGCTGGAGAGCAGGGGGTCGCAGGGGGAGGCAAGGCTGGGGCAACGGCACGTGTGCCCATAGAGAGGGCTCCGAGAGCCGCCTATGGCACCCGTGCCATAGGTTCGCCACCATTGATCTAGAGGAAGCATTGGAATAGATCTAAGATATAGGAATAGGAACACTGAAGAACAATCTTTGTCAAATTTTGTTAAAGAAGTAAGGTGCTTGAATAATAAAACATACAGCAGTACCATGCCTCCAATACGGTAAGACAAGTTGTGAGAAAAGAAGCAGATAAACCCCATCAGTTTATAGTAGTATGAGATTCCTTGTGAAAAAAAGTTTGCAAAATAAAAAGGAAATATGGGTAAAATAGATTTCTCAATATCTACCAGTATTTAAATTTGTAGAAATGAAGCTAAGAGTACAGTAATGATACCTATGCTTCCTTCTCATAATAAACCATATGTATGCTTTTAAATATAGACATTGTTTTAGAAAGTGACATGTTGATGCCACATAATGTATGCTGCCTTGCAGGTGCTGTATGTGGCTTCAAAATACATTAAATTAAATTAAGCTGCTCTTATAAATTTAAACTTCTAGAATAACCAGAGGTGCTTCCAGGAATTAAAACAGTTCTGGAGACTAATACTTCATTTTGCAGCATATCACCCATTTTTTTTTTAATTTAAAAAAATATAAAAGGTAGCATAAAACCTGTTGCACAGCAAGAACACTAGTATCATAGTCTGGTTGGAAGCATCACTGCTTCAGACAGGAAGGTGGTACAGAGAGTGGTGAGGAGGCTGAAAAGATTATTGGCAGTTCCCTATCTTCCATCCAGGGCATAGCACATAAGCATTGCTTGAGCAGGATCCACAAGATTGTCTGGGACACTACACATCTTCTTCATGATCTGTTTTCCTTGTTACCTTCTGGGAGGAGGCTTCGTGGTATCCGAAGCAGAACGTCCAGATTCACTCAGTTTTGTTCCATACAGTATCAACCTTGTGAACTCTAAAGTTTCCTCCTTCCGTTATGTATTCAAAATGGACAGTGATTAATATTTATATGTTACTTAATATGTAAGGGTGTAGGTCTATACATATGCTGTATATAGTATGTTTAAATGTGTGTAATGTATGAGAGCAAGCAACTAAATTTCATTTTTAATGTGTGCCATTGTACCCACAGTAAAAAAAATGACAATAAAGGTCTGTTTGTCTGTCTATCTATCTATCTATGAAAAAGAAATGATACAATTTTAAAGAAGAAAAACATAACACAATAGTATTTTGGATCATTATTGCAAAATTATCCAGTATATTTTATTATAAGGAACAGCCAAGAAATCCAACTTTAACTTAATATGGCTTTCTTCTAATGAAAAGGCTGTATATACCTTTACATAGACCATAGAATATCTGCCAAATACTGTTTTAGATTATCAGGAAAGCATTAGAACATTGCTTCCAGTGAAGCATTCAGGATGAGTTTACAGGAGATACAATTTGAAAAGTTTGATTAGGACATTTTATATGAAAACATACAAATTTTTGTACATATGCTACATATAAAACTCATTATATTATTGGTGGTACCATTGGTTGATTATGCTGTTGCATAATGGGAAGACACAGTCAGGCTTTAGCAGAAATAATGAAGAGCTATATTTTTGTATCTAAGAATAAAAATTGTTTTTAAAATAACTACACAATCTCCCTAACTCTCCCTTTATGCATACAAAGATCAGATCTTAAAAGTACATTCATAAAACAAAAGTTTCTCCCTGAGATTACCAGTGTTATTTTATTGTGGTAATCTTGGAAATAACAGCAATAGTATCAACAAAATATATAAAAACCAGATTTGCCAGTATATTACATCTTTTCTCTCAGAAAACCTGCACAATTATAAGACAGGTGTAATAGAGTGGAAAATCAGGCACATTCTCCAGTTGAAAAAGATTGCGTGGTCATGGCTTAATTTTGTAATGGAAGAGAAAAATGTTAACATTTATGCTGGAGCACTAATGAAAGATTTGCATGCTTTATTATGCATAATTATTTTGTTTAGAACTATTTTTCATTAATGCCTGAGTTTTGTCCAAAGGATAATATCCTCAAATTGCAGCTTTCCATAAATTTCACTTTATTAATATAGCATTATCTAATGTAGTAACCCCAAATGTTAAATGTCTAAAGAGCATTGTTTCTGCATATATATATATATAAAATATTTATGACAAAAGTTGATGAACTTCAACATTAAAATACTTGTTATTTTTCTTACTATAATCTTATTACCACCTAGCTTTATATATTATTATAATTTAGCAGTCTTCCCCACTTTTGGAATAAACCACAATTTTTAAAGTCAATTCTCTTAAGTTAATTAAAAATATATGGATTTAAACATATTTTGCCACTGCCTGATTTTTAAATTGTTAACATTTTAATATATAATAATCATGCAATTAATTGCATTTGAGAGAGAAATGGGATGTGAAAATGTTCCCTGAAACTAAAGAAAATACATATTTATAGGAAAAGTGAAAGAAAGATTGCATTTCTTCTATGAAATTTTATTATGCAATAATTACAAAGTTTAAATACTTTTGAATTTTAAATAAAAATAAGTGTCATTAAGCACATTTATATAACTATGTCAAGTGATTCCAACAAGTATCACATAAAATAGAGTGCATTTTCAAATCAGAGACAAATACGTTCTCATTCACAGTGTTTGACATATTACAAGGAAGCTTATTTCACATAAGGGTTTATTTTAAGGTCATGCTATTATGAACAGTACAGTCCACACCATGCTGTGCCATTCAAAATAATCTCTTAGAATGTGAAGTAACGAGCAAACCATTCCTGACGTTGTGGATCTGGTGAAGCCATTGGGGAAGCTTCAGTCTGAGGAGGGCTAGATTCATAAAAAGAAAAGACAGATTTAACCCACAACCAAGAGTCAAGGTGCAAAATGCCTGGAAAAAGCATACAAAAACAATACACAGCAGAGAATCAATTCTTATAATGTCAAAGTCACGTTAGTCTGTGAGATAGTTTAATCCCCATTTTCAACCTTTGATCATCCACTCCATTGGAGAGCATCAGCAGCATAGACAAGTCACTAAGCCACACAACAGGGTAGAAAAATAGTGTTTTGGAAAAAAAAATTGGAGTTGCTGCTTTGGTTAAAAAAAAAAGCAAGGGAAAGTTTGTTTTTAAAGAGCATCCTCTTTTAGCATCCTTTTCTTCTGGTCAAGTTAGTTGTCAAATATGATGCAAGCATCATATTCTTTAGGACATGCTGAATTGTCTGGCACTGAACAATTACATATTTTAAATATTACACACACAGAATGATTTATTGAAATTGCATGCACATGGAATCAGATACAATAGAACGAGGGATTCAATACAAAGCAAACTCATTTTTACTAATAAACAATTATCAAGTAAACCTGTATGATATAATCATTAAATATACTTTATTGCTTTAGTAGAACTAAATTTTATAGCTAGAATGTTAAAATAATCCCTACCGTTCATAGGACAAATCAGGGAACACAATAATTTTTAAGGAAACTCCATCATCACAATTCATGAATTCATGCACATGCTTGTTAATGGCGTCTGAGCATACATGCATTTTACATGCAAAGGGAAAATAAGGAAGATTACATTTTAAAGGATTCTTATTTCAAGTTAAGAAATAAAATGTTACTATAGTGCAAACTTCCTATTCTACTTTCTGCCCCAGCTCTATTTTGTAAGTTGCATTAAAGCAGAACTACATCAGAATAAAGAAATATTTATTTTCCAGAATATCAAGCATTATATAATAGTATTTCAGTTATATAATAAAACATATTCCAATTGTAATGCAAAGCGGAGCTTGATAATTTAATGCTGAAGCATAGCATTAAATGGTATGTAATATATGCACATACTATATTCACATACTCAAAGCTTGTTTTTGAAAAATATTTTTTCTGCGGTGAGGAAAATCAATACAAATCTAATATGGCAAATATTTTTTGTCAGAACCACTGTTACAAAACAACCATTTTGATTTGGGGGATTGTAACATATTCTTGAAGGGCAGGTAGAAATAAACATTTAAGACAATTGTTCATAAAGGTAAATAACTGAAAGCACACAATGCATTGGTAATAATATAACACTTTGAAATTTTAAGGGAAAAAGACTTATTGGGGGAATCACATTACAACAAGCTTTACAATAAAAAGAGATACTATAAAGAGGTTTAAAATATAGTGCAAAAAATATGATTCTAAAATAATACCCTTACTCCAGTATTCTTAAACCAAGTGGAGGTTCAGCTAAAAAGAAATCAATTTTTGTTTTCCAAGTTAGGGGAAAAAAAAGAAAATAAAAAACTGGTGAGGCTCTGCTCACCTCAAAACCATCTTGGGCTCTTTGGGTGGTATTGGCTGTGGAAGTGGTCTGCTGCTGTTGAACTCAATATCGTGGATGGATGAATTAGGAATAGGGTCCAGGCGGTTAGCATGTCCATTGCCCACTCCACTAGATTCCAAAGCACTTAGATTGGGGACACTCACAAACCTGTTTGCTGATCTATCATTCTTCTTCTTTTGCTGCATTAAAAATAACACATGTAGGGAAGGGAGTGTACAAATCACGAAATTACTGAGATGTTTTAAATTATTATTCTTTATTAATGGTTTGGGGATTGCTGCAATACGATGCTTGACTTTTCAATAATTTTAGTAGATTTAGCTTATTTAGCTTCAATTCCCAAAGAACAGTGGAAACTGCTTTTCTTTTAAAACTAACACTGTGTTGTTGTAATTCCGAATCTCCCAACCAAAAAAATGGAACGTTTTAATTACAGAAGAAAAACAGATTTTACTTTCTATTATATTTGCAGCCATTTCCTTATATAATCGTGGTTCGTGATTGCCATAAAATCAATTAAATCCTGCTTCAAAATATTTTAATAGGAAGTAACAAAGTTTGTATTCCATTTGTATTTATTTTATTTTTCTGGCTTTGCTAAGGAGAGAATATAGCAGATGTTGCCCTTTTGATACCAAATTCTTATATTCTGCCAGCTGAGTAAAAATAGGTAAGAGTTGAATAAAATGCTTCCAATAGTCACACAGTACCCCACTAAAGTGAACTATTCAACAAGATACTTCTTCAAAAATTAAAAAACTTTTGATTGGATTAAGGATTTTAATACCACAACCTTCAGATTTTCACAGAAAAACCTCCCTATTTTCAAAATCATTCAAGTATATCTTTCTTTAGTTACTTTGCTGAAGGTACTGATTCAGAATCTGAATAATTCAAAACATAATTATTATGGTCTACTAGGCACAACTAATTCATTTTTTATATTGTTGAAATCAAACAGATGGGAAAACCAATTTATCAATTAGCAGCAAGCCATGTTAAACGGTTAATATATTGAAAGCGGCCCAGGAAGCAATAAAGATTTTCTTCATAACTTAGCTAATATATATATATATATATATATATATATATATGTGTGTGTGTGTGTGTGTGTGTGTGTGTGTGTGTGTGTGTGTGTGTGTATATATATATATATATATATATATATATATATATATGGCTTAAAACACCAGAGAGTGGGAGAGTCTCTTATAAGCAAGCCCGAGTCTGCGCCCAGCTCCTTGATCTCGTTATCGGACCTAATTGGATAGATTGTGCTCCGGTGATCCGTTTCTTCCTGCACCCCTTATCTACGTGTGTGTCCTCTTTTGTCTTCTTTTCCTTGGATTCTAGGGTGGGTGGGGCAACCTCCCTATCCCCCTGGTTGCCCCCCTCCTTTGATCCATTCTCTCCCTCAGGTTTTAATTTTAACGAGGTCTGCGTCTTGGCAAGTGACAATACAAAGGGAGGCCGGCTGCTTAAAGAAGCATGGCTCTCCAATAGTGACTCCATTAACCGGCACATTGACCTCTGCTCGGCTCAATCCATATCATAAAAAAATCAGTGTTATCTTTTATTAATATGATTTATTTGATTTCTATAGCCTTGTACTGAGAATTTTATATAACTTAAGTAATTTTTTTGGTACTAACTGATATTACTCTTTTGAAACTCTCTGTTATAAAATGTTCTAAGGATTCTTATTTTGGATAGGTAATAATGCAGTCCAATTTCCTTCATTTTGTTTTAGTTTAAATGGAAGAATTTTTTCCCAATTAAAAAATTTCAGCTGAAGATCTCTTACTTTTCCAGTTTTAGGTTTCTTCCACACAAAAGCCATGTCACCTTGCAAAGCAATGCTTTGCTATAATTTTAACTGAAAGATTCCTCACATATACACTATTTTAGTTAGCAGTACAATTCTCCAACCATGTCAATAAAAGGAGTTTCGTAATTATATTTTTCCCTCAGAATTGCATTGGCAACAGGAGTTGATTAAGCAAACCAGCTTCCTGTTAGAAGCAGAGTGAGAAAAAACATACTAAGAGCAAATTATTAATAGACAGGTAAGATCTGAAACACTGCAACAGTGCTTTGTTATCTCTTCTAAACTCACAGTATTTTATTGTAAAAAAAAGTTATTAATCTGATCTAACAAAACTAAATACCGTATTGCAATGATTTGACTGATGGCATTTATATCCTATGAGGCTGCTTCCAGCCAATGCTTTCAATGTACAATCACCCTGCCTCATTTACATAATACTGTAGAAATGTAAATGATATTAATTCATTTGTGATCATTTGCAATCAGCCTGTGTTTTTTTTTACTTTAAATATATCTCTCTTAGCACAAAAACAAATTAAAAGAACATGAATTCTATTATTTTTTTCAGTGAGATGTTGGAGAAAAACACACTATTGAGTAAGAGATAACATAGAGAGGATATTTTTTTTCCTATAGTCTGCCATGCATTTCTGATTGCAAACACATCTTGTATCACCCTTCCTCTCTGCTCAGACTTAATAAAACAGAAGACAAATCTTATTAAACCTAGCAGATTACATTTGAATAAATACACAGGATCCAATTTTAATGTTACAATCCTTAAACTACTCCTCAACTTACTAATTTTTCCTTTTTTGCTACATTTTGAAATATATATTGTTATAGACTCATTCTACAATAATTCAAGAGCAGACCCATTTAATTATTTTTAATTGGGTACACACCCGTTTTAACTGCTTGCTTTCCTTCTTTTTGAATCAAAAGAACTGTTCAAATGTCTAGAAAAGATTGTTTGAAGAATATAATTAAATTACACAGAGGATGTAAAGGTATCTCCAGTGCCAAAACTGATAAAAAAATTAAAAAGTCAAGAAGTTTATATTTGAGTATAGAAAAAGATAAACAGGTTTCAAATCCAAATGGTTGTGTTCATATCTCACACAATAAAAATTAAACACATGTATGTAACAATGATAAAGAGTTTCATTACAGGAGGACAGAATACACTTAATCAAGTGTGAAATTTTAAAAAGATGTTCACTTTCTGCATTATAGCTAGTGCTATGAGAATGTCAACTGGAAATAATAATCATTGCAATCCTCTATAACATGCAAATGAAAAGTAGATGATAACTGTACAAAAAGGGAAGCAATGTGATATATTAATAATTCAGCATCATATTAGGAAGTATAAAAATGATAATTCTTTCACTTGAAGGCACAAATATTTTAGAAGGTTTACTATATAGCAAAATCTTGAATTATTTTAGCAGTAATTATTCAGATTTCCTAACATTAAATATTATTTACTTTATATACCAAAACAGAATATTGCACATAATTTCCATAGTTTCTGCTACTGCAAGTCAATCCAATAACGGTATTCTTTAACTGTGGAGTTTTTTTGTTTGGACTAACATGGATTTCATTGCTTTTTTTTTTCTGGGAGAAGCATTTGGTTCTTTTATAACCATTTACTGAAGAATGTACATTCCATTACACTAGAATGCTAATCTGCAAAGGACTTAAAAGACATAGCTTCAAATCAGATAACAATCTGAATCCAGAATTGCTGCTATGTAACAAAGTATTTCTTCTTTTCACGAAAGAGACTTTGTTACAACAGAAGCTCCAGGAAAAGGAAAAGAAGCAATCTTATACTGATACTTTTTACTAAGTTTTCCTGTCTAATTCACTACAGTGTTAGTAAATGCTAAACCAAATATCACAATTTGATTTTGAAAGAGGATATTAGCAATCAAAGTGCAATTGCAAAAATGGGTAGAACGAGCAGCGTAGGTTGAGAAAATTGTCAGGAACAAACTGTTTCTGAGAAATAAAATATAAAACTATTCTAAAGTATAGTTCTTGCATAGATGATAGAACTGCCTCAGATGCTAAACAAGCTCAAAATAAATTAGTGCTTGGATGGCTCACCAACAGCCTGTAGATCAGGAAGTAAAAATGGCAGCATGAAATAGTCTCTATGTGTATTACTGCTAAGAGAACTGAAGGATGGCAGGAAGTCACCAGGGATTGAGTATGACTCTTAAAGAAATGTTGCTCTTTTTTTTTAAAAAAAGATTTTCCACTGAGAAGAAAAATTGACCATATTATGAAAAACTTGCCTATTCCCAACCTCTGTTGTTGCCTGGTGTTTGTTAATGGATTTTTGTTATTTGCATTATTACCAACCCACATTTTCTACTTTTAAGTTAATAATTATGTTCCATACCTTTACTAGAGGATTAATAACACCAACATTAGGACTTGCATTAAACACTTTGTTGAAGTTAGTCTCCCTATTGACTAGTTCCAGTTGATAGAACTTTTTGTCATCCTAATAAAGAAAAGAATATGTTCATATTGTTTTCAATATATTCAATTGTGATTATTTAGCTAGTATGACCAATCTTTGTTCATAAAAAAATATTGACTTCAAATATGAAACTGTTGAAGCTGAACTAAGATTGGCAACATGTGTTCCATTTATGTAATAATTTGTGGCATTCCTATAATACTTCTCTACAGCAGCATTAGCATTCTCACTTTGCATTGAGTTCAAAGACTCTATAAGACAATTTTTTTGCTCTCCCTTATTGTGATATAGGAAGCCGCAACTGGTTCATATTAGCAAATTTCTTATCAGCAAAATTTAGAACATACTTATTAGAAATTATATTAAAATACATATTGTTTATATAGATGCCAGCCAGGAAGGAAAAAGTATCCACCCCACAATGTTTTAAAATTTCTTTAGCATTGTGATTTATCTATAGTACAAAAGATACAATTTTATAAGTAACATTTCCAGTACATATTTATTCCAAACAGAATAGAGTGATTAAATTATTTTAAAGACTGAATTATGAACAACTGTTTAAGAGTACAAAAAGAGATATGAAATTGTGTATGCAGCTTAGATAACGGAGATTAAAACTAATTAAAAGTCGCTTTCATTTAGATTGTTTTCTTTCTCATATAATAGGTGTTTGGAATATTTGACAAAAATATTCAAAACAAAACAAAGGCCACCAAATATTCAAAGCTCAAAACAAAGGCCACCAAATTATCTTACAATCAGCTTCTTTATCAGCTGATCCCTCTCAGCAATCAGGTCTTTCAGCTCTGCAATAAGCTGCAGGTCTTCTGGCCTTGGTTCCCTGTTTTGATATTTATCTTCCATTTCTTCTAAACTTTATAGAAGACAAAAGTATCACCAATGCATTAGTAATGCATCAAAGTTAAAAGATAATACTGTAAATCCATATTATTAAACTGATTAAATAAATAAATCTATTATATATAAAAAGAGATATATATTTATACCTATAAACATCTTTTTGTTGGGTATGCTAAAGAAAATGCTGTCATAATTTACAATTAAAGCAACACAATTTCTATAATAAAATTACAATAAATCAACTAATGTATGAGAAAGTATCATGCAAACAACTAAAACAACAAGTTAGTATAAGCAGTCAAAAACACCACAGAAAGAAAGCAGAAATTAAGATAATTGCAGAAAAGTTCTAAAAAGACAGTGAAGAAGCATTAAAGGAGTGAATGGAAATAAATTAGAGAAAAATGCTGAAAGGCCAAGAAAACAGAGCCTTGTATTTGTAGAAAGGTTAATAACTTCTGAATTAACCTTTCAGAATGCTATCTAGTTTTGGACTTTTATATGGATTTTAATAGACAAGGGTAAACATTGAACAAACTGAAGCTATATGCTGATATGATGGATTCATATGGATTATTAGGTGCCTTGATCTGGATGCAGCTGAAGAACCAGTTTCCTGATGGGGGTTTCATTTTATATATATATATATATATATATATATATAGATAGATAGATAGATAGATAGATAGATAGATAGATAGATAGAGATAGATAGATAGATAGATATATATATAGAAAGAAAGAAAGAAAGAAAGAAAGAAAGAAAGAAAGAAAGAAAGAAAGAAAGAAAGAAAGATCTGGCTTTTCCCTCAAGTGTTGGGACGCACATTAGAACTGATTGGCATTAAGTTGTTGTGGCTTTTAACGTTTTAATTGGGTGAGTTTTATAGTTTTAAAATGATTTATATGTCTTTTAATTTTTGATTGGTAGCTGCTCAGAGTTGGTTGAAAGATAGGCGGCTATAGGATATATATTCTGAAAGCTGGATTTTATCCTATCAAATGACTTTAAAAGATGCAGACTTTTTGCCAACTTGCTCTGTGGTCCAATGGAAAGATAGTTTATAATACAGTATCTGGCTAGATTACTGATGTGTACTCTTTATGTAACTTCTTTTAATATCAATTTATGAATCCCAGTTGATGCAGAGTATGCAAAAGGTGTTCAGATTGTATTATACTAAATATGTATTAAATACACCAATTGCCTTTTTCTTACTATACATAATTTACAATTCTGCTTTGGTTTTAAAAGTCCTTCATAATTTTAATCAAGTTTTCTGAAGATTACCAGCATTCATAAAATTTGTTGGCACTATCCCCCCAAGCTTAATCCTAGAACATCCTAGGTTCACTATTACCTAGTGTATGTTCTATCAGCCAGGCTCAGACATTAACGGAACTCTTTTATTCTCTAAATACAAATAGACTATATTTGGAAACTTTAAAAACTTTTATGAAATACTTTTGTACTTCATTAAAATCTGCAGCTTTTATATGCGGTCATGCCCCCAAAGTTACCGCTGTAAAATTGGTTATTATATAGTAAAACTACTTTTGATGTCATTATATTTTATGATAAATATTATTATATATTATTATATATTGAACGGAATCTCTCTTGAAGAGGAAGTTTAGACTGGGTTCCCCAACCCTTGGGACAAGCAAGTGGCAAGCAAGTGTGAAAGTGAATGAAGCTCCATTTGCACAAGTGGCAGGCACACACAGAAAACCATCCCCTCTTTCCCCATCTCCACTGCTGCCAATCCGCATAATCAGAAAGGTTGGGGATTGCTGGTTTAGACTATTCTTCTGACTTACAGAAAGCTCTATGCTTCTTTATTACAAGAAGCAAAAGTTAAATAGAAAAATGTATTATTTCAGGCCGTTTGTCAGTTCAAATTTCATTACAAATAGAACCGTACCATTTTAAAAGAAGCATACTTACACAAACAGCTATTTAACTTTCAGACTCAGACGAATAAGAGCTGAGCAAGAGTTTACAATCTATTATGTCCTTGTACTATAAAGATATCCAATAATTATTAGTCAGTAGCCATAACACTTGAGAATTTTAAAAGGCCTTTAGTTGGCATTTTTTTCCAAAGACATGATATTTTTCTCCAATAATAAAAGTATCCAAAAAGCTATGAGAATATAGATTATTTTAAGATAAGACAGTGCTTAATAATTGCAAAACTGAACTGGAGACATAATTAGAAGACATAGCTTCAGTGTCATGAAATTAAGATTACAAAGAGAAACATGAAACACAGAAATATAAGGATCATATGGTGGTATAGATGTTTGTGGGAAGACACAGTCAATTAAAACTATTAATATAAACAACATTATGTAATATGGGAGTTATTAGTTTTAAAAATATTGCATCACCTTAATCAGAGGCACAAAAATAAAATAAGAGGCTTACCAAGCATCTTTAGTGTCATGTTCAGTCCTAATGAAAGCATGTATTAAATGGTGGTTTTTAATTATTTATTTTTTAAAAAAATTATGACTGCCCAACTCATTTTCTATGATTCTGGGCATCTTATAAGGATAAAATCTTAATAAAAAAACAATACTGCCCCCCCGGATGACAACAATCAGACAAGTCACTCAATTGACTCCCTATTAATCTGGGGTACCCAAGCCATTGGTAGAACCATGTCTTCAGGGCCTTGTGAAAGACTCTAAAAATGTGGCCCAATCTTATTTCTGCAGGGATAAGGGAGCCACCATGGAGAAGACCCTTCTTCTTGATTCTGCTAGATGGACCTCCTTAGGAGAGGGGACCAATAGTATTCCCTGCCTCCCCATTCCAGGGGATTGAATAGATATGACTGGGAAAAGATATGATCCCAAGCCATGTAGGATTTTGAAGGTGAAAACCAACATCTTGAATTGGACTCAGAAACAAATCAGCAGCCAATGTTGTTCCTGCAAGAGAGGTGACGTGTGCAAATCTAGGCTTGCACAAAACCATGCAGGCTGCTGCATTTTAGAAACCAACTGAAGTTTTCAAATACTTTTTAAGAGTGTGTAAGACTGTTTGAACTGCATCATCTAGCTACCTAAAAACTGATTGATTTAATGAGCATGCCCAATGTCCTTTTATTTTGTACCAGCCTCCGACATTTAATATATTACAAGGGTTAAATGGAAGTATGAATTGGATGTTTTCTTACTTTTTCCCATGGTTTCAATTCTGCATGTTTGTTGAAATGGTTCTGTCAAAGTTAGGGATATACTAAGCTTCTCAGTTATATGGAGTTTTACAACCCCATGCCTCTCCAGTATCAATTGGAAACAGATAATAATTATATATTATTCCACTCAAACTCAGCCCGTAAATGAAATTGTTCAAGGAAGTAAAACTTACGAAACTTGCAAAGCTGAATTAATTTCCTTGAGCAGCTGTTGGGTCTTATTAAAATCTGCCAGCATACTTTGTTTCTCTCTGATGTGGTCAGCTGTCATGACATCCAGCTTTTTCTCATGTTTCTTGCTTAAATCTTGTTCATGTAGCCTGTTTCATTTTATGTTAAAAACAGTTATTCTTATCAGTTGGGTTCATTAATTTTGATATTTGAAAAGGCTTTGTGCACAGTGATACTGATAATTGCAAAATTATTACAATTTCTCTAACCTCTAGCTTATTTTTATAAATTTTGTCATCTCCTTTAATGCTTTAATAATGAAAAGCAAATAAAATCCGTTTAATTAAATGGTCAAAATAGCTTTTTCCAGTTGCTAATATCTAGAATAATGTGCAATGCCATATAATAGACAATCCCAGCCTAAATGCATTATTACATTAATCAATATTAGACTTTGATGAATATAGCAGTTTGAATTTGAGCACCTAAAATACTCCATGTAAATTAAAAAAAGGTTATTCTTTATCAGCTTTAGGAACTGAATTAATTAGAACTTGTTACCTGACATCAGAAATACTCATACCTAATTTGCTGATTAGATTCGCTACGTATTCGTAGAATTTCCTTCCCTTTGAACTCCAATTCCTTAGTTAATGCACTTATGTTCTCATGCAAAGCAAGTATTTCCTTATCCAATTCTGATATATGGTAGTCTCGATGCCTCAGTTCATCCTGTACATCTGATATTCGGCACATAAATTCTTTCTCCTAATAAACAAGTATTAATAATCAAAGAACACTTTGTAATAGTTCTACGTAGTATATTCATTTCTGCAGAATAAACATACTCAGTTTTTTCACTAAAATATTTCTTAGAAACAGAATATTTAAATCATTGGTGTTCAACCTTTTGGCTTGCCTGAGTTGCACTGAGTGAAGAGAATTTGTCTTGGGCCACATATAAAATATATAATGTAGTTAATATATATATATATATATATATATATATATATATATATATATATATATATATATATATATATATATATATATATATATATATATATATATATATATTAATTAACTAGCTGTCCAGACCATATGCAGCCCATGGGCCATGGGTTGTACACTATTGATTTAAATGAAAATGTATCATCCTTAAATTAGGGGATTCTTGTCTTCTCTTTATTCCTCTTCATCTGTGAAAAATCAAATATAAAGTTAAAGGGAATATTGAATAAGAATTCTGAAATTACAATTGAGTTTTCAGACTGAGTTGTGCTTGCTTCTTTTCAGCCAACACAAGCTCCCTCCCCCCTGCCCCCTTCTCCGACCTAGAGAGACTACTAAGACTGATCTCCAATTCAGGTTTTCAGTTATTTGTCAGAAAGGTTTGATAGTGTCTTTAATTACTATATTTTCTTTGTTATACTGCCTTCACTTTTATTTAGCACCAAAACATATTTCAACAAAGATGTTTAGTTCCAGACTTGTTCTTCTGTAAATAAAATACTTTATTTGAACTAAAGTTATCTTTACTTTAGCAGACACTTTTACTGCCACAATGCCACATGCAGTCCCTAAAACTAACAATTATACGGATTTCTCTTGCAACCCCCATTCTCTTTCAGGGAACAGAAAGAGTAGGGGGAAAAAATCAGCCCTTCTCCCGTAGAAACATCCTGTGAGTGAAATTTCAGTCATAAAGAATCAGGCTTTAAACCTATAGACATTAGTATAAAATATACAGAACATTCTGGAAGGTGCAAATTACTGTGGACTTGCTGCTAAAAGAGATGGATTATCTCAAAGAGTACCATAATAATTAGCTTAGATGCTTGTTCAATTTAATTTTCTTATAATGCTTAAACAGAGCTTCTTTCTTTTTTTCCATTGTCTGTTTATTTTCCCCTTGTGTCATCTTATCCTTTTTTCCCTCATTTTCTTCTTTATGCAACTATCTTATTTCTTTAACTCATCTACATCCTGTTTTAATCTTTACTGCTGAAGAGAGAGAATGGAATCTGAGTGGGTAGAATGTAAGAGTGAATGGTTGACATGTGCAAATGAAATATCAATTAATAGATTAATGGGGCACATTTTTCAGACAATTAATTTTAATTAGTTTTTATTAAAGTGTATTTTTTAACTTTATTATCTGAATATAATAGTTTTTCAGGTGAACAGATTTTTCTGTATGGAAGTGGATTGGAGTCAAATGGAACTGGGACCCCTAGATCACAGGTCGGCAACCTGCGGCTCCGGAGCCGCATGCGGCTATTTGAGCCTTCCCTTGTGGCTCCCAGCCTCTTCTGCCATTTGCAGAGAGAGACAGAGACAGAGACAGAGACAGAGAAAGGCACTTGCGCTTCCCTTCTCTCTCTCTCTCTTTCTCTCTCTCTGTGTGAGTGTGTGTTTGTGTGTGTAAAAAAGAGAGTAGCCTCACCCTGTTCGATGAGCCAACAAGCTTACTGGGCGGGGCTCCTGCCTTGGTTGCATCTCTGTAGGAAACAGGAAGCAGGAAGGGCAGAAGAGAGCTAGCTAGCCCAGCTATGCTGATTCAGGAATTCTGGGAGTTGAAGTCCATGAGTCATAAAAGAGCCAAGGTTGCCTACCTTGAACTTGTTGGAGAACAGCTTGAAGCCAGCTTGCCAGGTGAGCAGAAGATCGGAGAGAGGGAGGGGGGGGAGAGAGAGAGGGAGAGAAAGAGAGATGAAAGAGAGAGAGAAAGAAAGAGAATGGGGGAAGAGGACTGGCAGACCAAGGGCAGAAAGAGAGAGAGGGAGAGGGAGAGGGAGAGAGAGACAGAGACCCTTTTGACATCTAAAATGAAGATAACACTGCCTATATCCTTTATTATGTATGTATGTATGTATGTATGTATGTATGTATGTATGTATGTATGTATAAAGGTAAAAAAGGATATATGCAGTGTTATCTTCATTTTAGATATCAAAAGGGTTTTGCGGCTCCCAGTGTTTTGTTTTTGGTGGGAAACTGGTCCAAGTGGCTCTTTGGGTTGCCTACCCCTGCCCTAGATTAATAAAATAGGGAAGCTAGCAGTACATAATATTTTTATCTATTTATCTGTCTGTCTGTCTATCATGTTTATCTGTCTCTGTAATATTGTCAACCAGTGGGATCTATTGGTTAAGATGCCAGAGTGGGGAAATGCAGGTTCTCATCTTCTGTTATGCTTGGAAGCTGGTAAGGGGCTGATAGATTTGATTTCGATGGGTGGGTGGGTGGGTAGGTTGGTAGGTAGGTAGGTAGATATAAATAACCTACAATTTTCTATTTTTATTGGCAAAATTTGGGAAAATTTTATTGACAAACTTTTTCATTTTGATAATTTGCTGCTACCATTTAATTCTGTTACTTATCTTTGCAATAATAGTTACAATTATTTCAGTCAAAATTACCATTAAGGTGATAGTGTAAGATAAATTCTGAATCAGACCAGACTAGATTAGTCTGGCTACAGTAGGTGGTTACAGCATGTGGACAATTTCATGCTTCATTCAAAAGCAACAAAGTAATATGCTTAATGCTAATTTACAATTAATGTATATTGCTACCATATAAGGTTGTAAATCCTGGACATCAAATGCAAAAGCAGTACAAGTTTAAAGTTACATACAGAAGCATGGAATGATAAATGCTAAACATAATATGTGATAAATCAAATATATGGATCTGCCACTAGATAGGAGTGTGGGATATAATGAAATTTAAATGGCAATACGCTGGCTACATTATATGACAACTAGATCAGCAGTGATGAACATCAATCCTTGCAAAATGCCAATGGACCTCAATAAGACTAGAAAATGTCCCAAAGAAATGCTGGACAGATGATGTAACTCAATTCAAATGTGTTAACTGAGAAATGAATCAAATACCATGTATTAATTTTTGATCAAACAGCTTTTTTTACTTTTTGATCAAAAAGATATATTAAAGGTTAAATACTTGTGCTATAGCTTTATAGCATTAATAATCTTTAGAGCACAGAATATATGTACCTGATGCCTGCTGAGTTCTATGCTTCTTTCAAGTTCCATTTTAGCTGCTGCTACTTCTTGTTGATGATTGTGCCTGAGCTGATCAATTGCTGCAGCATGTTGATGATTTAGTTCAGAGCGCAAAGATGCTGAGAAATACAAATAAAGTATTTTAAAAAATACTTCACAAATAATATTTAAATTTTTTGATATGTATACATATTATTATCATATAGTTATTGCATCATATATTGATGCTTTTTCAAATGGCAGTTTGCCCACTGATTTTCTAATTCCCAGCCATTAGTGGGAAAACCTTCTATAATAAGTGTATCACACCGACATTTATTAAGAGTACCACATTTGTGTCTTCCAAATTTATAGTGTTTGCAACCCAATTTCAATTTATTTCTGTTCTTCAAAATATTTGGTGTTACTCAAGCAAGAAGGTCATTTCAAAATGTGAAGTAAATTTGTTCATATCCAGGTATGTATACTTCCTATAAAAGAATTGTGTAGAGCACTCATGAATTTGGAAGGAAACTCATAAAGGCAAAATACCAAAATAAAGGATGACATATTTTTACATTTCTGCTTTATTCTTATTATATAAATATAATTAGACTGGAAATATAATTTCTATTTCTGGAAAGAGTGCTCCTTTTTCAGTATCAATCATACTATTTCCTAGGATAGTTACATAACATATATATGTATGTATATAATGTATGTATGTATGTTTAAAAGACTTACAATTCAATCTCTTGCACCATGCATATTCAAAACAGCAAGCAAATATTTTAAAAGCAAATCAGTTACATATTTCAAAAAGAGAAACAAAAACAATCCATAGAAGATAATGATGATGATAATTATAGCCAATAAAGGAGAATATTTCTAGATCAGGGTTGAAATGAGGGGTCCTTGATGTTCTCTGACCTTGGTTGTTTTCTTACAGACCTTTCTGTGCTAGTCCTGATGATGTTACCTAGTTTGGATAATGAAACGTCTGCAAGAAAACAATCAAGCTCAGAGAAATAATAACAGATAAGCAAATCATACAAGGAAAGTATATTATATAACCGGTGAAAGGATCAAGGAAACAACTCCATTATCTTCCTTTTAAGCTCATTTTCGCTTTTCTTTTTCTAATATTCAATTTGATGATGTTGATCACCACTGCATTTCTTTTAGTGAATTGTTTCTTTGAAATTTTAAATACTGCATTGTATTTTTGCAAACCTTGAGTTACTCCAATTATGTGGATACTTCCCTCTAATTTTCTATGATCTGATTTTGCTCTATTTCTGTTGAAATGAGGCACTGATATTGATAGTGAAAAAAAAGATAGATATAAAGATAATACTAAAGAAACTGCTATTATCAAAGTTAATGAAAAAAGAGAGACAGGACTGTAGCCCAGAGTATGAAAATAGAATACATCTACCTAAAACACCTATGGGAAGTCTTTTATTTAGCCAGGCGGAATCTTTTATATAAAATCTCATAGCAGAGTCATCAGCTTGATTTAAGAGATGATAAATCATAACAATTGTAAAGACTGAATTATAGTATCACATTTATATTATAAATTGTGTGGTATTAATTACTCTTCAAGGAATGCCTTGAGGAACACTGCTATTTTTCATCTTAAAAACTTACATGTTTCAAGAAGAGATCCAATCTAAAACTAAGGACAAATTTCCTGATAATGAGAACAAATTGACCAGTGGAACAGCTTGCCTCTAGAAGTTGTGGGTGCCCCATCACTGGGGATTTTAAAGAAGAGATTGAACAGGCAATTTCCCAGAATGGTATAGGGTCTCCTACTTGAGCAGAAGGTTGGACTAGAAGACCTCTAAGGTCCCTTCCAACTCTGTTATTCTGTATTCTGTATGTACATCCTCCAAACATAGAAAAGTTGCAGGTGACCTAGGGAAGGCTTGTCGATTTCAAAAAGATTGACATTAAAAACCACCAAGAAACCCTAGGACTATAAACTAGCTTGAAAGTCAGAAAAACAACCCATAAGAAGACAATGGCAAACCATTTCTATATTGTTAGTAAAACTACAGCCAAATTCCTACATGGTTGTCTATCAGGCAGCAAATTATATCTGCCCTCTAAATCAAAGCTTACATTTTAAATTGTGACATGAAAGTACAGTACAGTACCAAGCATTGCTTTCCCTTCGTCTTCCAATTCAAAGCGAAGAGTCTGCACTTCCTGTTCCATTTCTATTTTGAAAACATCCATAGCATGTCTGTGTACATCTTTCAGTGCCTGAAGTTCTTCTGAATACTTCTGTTGCAAGCGTTCCTCAAGTTCCTATGGGAAGTAAATCAGTATGGGAATATTTTTACAATTAAGCATATAAAATTATCTTTAAGTTTTTATCTTATGGAATCTTATCTGTAGCTTCCCTATCTTATGCAGTAAATCACTGCACTCAAAATGCCAGTTAGCAAAGTAGTTTGGTTCCAGACAACTGTAGACCAAAATGGGGGAGGGACTCTTGGATGTTCAAAATAAAAATTAAGCATTTAATTAAAATAGTGTTCATATTTCTTTTTTGTGGCCTTTCATTTGAAATGTGTGATATTAACAACTCCCACTGAACACACCTTTTGCTCTTGTTCTTTTGTTTCTTCCATGCTCTGAAAGGCAAGGAAATGTGCTTCTTTCATGGACTTATGTCTCTGCTGATGCTCTTCCTCCAGTTCTTCAATTTCTTGGGTCAGTCTCTGCCGCTCTTGACTAAACTGTGCCTGCAACTGTTGCATTGTGTTCTGAGACTGTGAAAGCTGCATTTCTAGGTTTTGCTTTAGCAGAGTGATCTAATTCACAGAAAAGCAAAATGACATAGAAATATCAGAATTAAATTCAAATTAAATGTATGCATAGATTTTTTAAAACTATGATTAATTTTGGAAAAGTACAGAAATCTATAAACATATTACTACTCCACTAAACATCTACAATCCCAGTTGTAGTTTGAGATATGAGAAGCAATGAACAGAAATTTTGTATCTTTTAAAACATTACATGCCTATCTTTTGGCATATGTTGTTCAGTAGCACATTTCTTTTAGCAAAATTTCAGGTATACATTATAACATGAAACAAACATTTATGATATGAAAAATAGGAGAACTGCTACAAAGATTACTGCTTTGCATTCTATAAACTGCCTCTCCCCAAATGTTTGTGACATTCTCAGATATCTAATAGTCACGTTCAAAGCACTCAAGTTTCTTTTAATATCTAAAACTTGTTAGTAAGAGTTACAGAAAGTCTTCTTAAAAGTAGAAAAAAAATTGTTTCATAAAAACAATAGATGAAAAATCTTCAATAGACCTACTTAAGCAGAAATCCTAATGAACTCAGTTGGGTTTACAATGTTAGTTTTGAATTCTGGAGTAAATTACTAATATTTTTAAAGAAATTAAATATCAGACTTTTAGATTACCTCTATAATTGTTTAGGACATTGAAAAAGAATAATCATATATTATATTTAACATTTCTGCTGTTTATTTTGTTCAACTATGGACTAAGGACACCCAGTTTCAAACTACTTAAAGATATTGCTCAGTTCATGACTGTACATCTGGTACTATCTGACAATCAAACATACCTCACAAGCACATCATTACAGTAAAGCTGCAGAAGTACTATGTACATTGCCTTAAGCTCTGGAAGGAAAGATGATACATAATCCCACTAATTTGTAATTCATTATTTTCATATTATGATTGTGTGGCTTAACCCATACCTTTCTAGATAATTTCCTAGGAATTTCAGTATTAAATTGAGTGATGTGCTAGCCATGCAGAGTAATGTACAGGTCTTACATAGTATTTTCAGGATGGGCAGTTCATGTTAGAGGTTGTGATTTCAAGAAAGTAATAGTACTGTGGTCAAGATCAGAAGGCAGAGCTATACTACTTTTATATCCAATTGGCATTCTTTCTATTAAAACCTGAATATACACTATGATAGTATGTAATATTCCAATATTGCTATCATTTCATATTGGTGCTATTGCCTCTCTCTGATAAGTTCACATAAAGTCATAGTAAAGACCACAGGCACTATCACTAGTTTCATTCATGGTATATTAGCTTTAAAATAACTTAACTGTAGGACAAACTGATTAAATTTAATTCATACGATCAGTGTAAACATTACACTTCATTGGTATATAAATATTTATTATGAAGATCAGAATGCCAAATAGTTACAAGAGAATTTTTTTAACACAGATGAACTCACAAATAATTCAGTGAAGGTCCAGATACCCTATATATAGATGAAAGAATTAATATACAAGTTGATTCAGATTTAAGATTTCTATTGTGCTTTCATTTACAAGATAACATAAATGCTAAATGTAATACACCTCTGTGATACCTCTGAAGGCACTTTGTCAAATGCAATAGTATGAACAAAGAATCCATCACTGAAATGTTGAGGTAGCAGTATTCTCAGGTTATGGGTACTTCAAGGGCTTTGTCTTCACATGTCTGCGCATGCAGATCTGCTTTACTTCATCAGCAGTCCCCAAAGAAGTTTTGTCTGGACATAGACATGCACAGATCATCTTCCTGAGAACATAGCTGCTACACAAGAGGCATATTGTTTAAGGCAATGTAGAATGCAAATTACCCCCTTGACCTATTTGTGCAGTGGAAAAGCATTTGTAACAAATTCACTACCTTCTGTTAAGATGTTGGATAAATGTTTGAGTTTTCTTCCACCAACCTTTTCTTGCTCATGGCCCAATTCTGAGCTTCATTTATCTCTCTGACTCCCTCCCCATTTCCATTATTAAGATACTTATTATAAACTGCAGTAATATTCAATATCTGTATTGCTGAAATTAGCACAAAGAATGAGATATAAGGATTATGACAAATTAGTTATATGCCTGGCAGTTAGATTTGGACGTCTCCCTCAGAAACATAACTATGACTCCCTAAAAATATGGCATGGCCCATAGTGAGAATCACTGCACTAGAGCATTTCAGACAGAAGATCATCCAGCTTCTACAGCTGGAAATAATTTTGAGGCAATGGCTCCCCTAGGTTCTTGATTTTTTAAAAAAAGCCTACCTAATAGCTATAATATATATTATTTAATCAATTGCTGTAACATTTAGAGCAACAGAAAGCTATATAATTTATATTGATAGTCCATCACCATTAGTTAAAAAAACTGCATGGCAGATAGATAGTTGTCTTGAAGCAAGGAGGAGGAACAAAATCTTTATGTAGTGAAAATTTATAAAAAGTCAAAAAACCTGCAGGGTAAAAGGGTATTCTTTCACCAATCTTGTTTCTCCTTTATTCCCTTGTCTATGCATCCTATTGTAAATCTCATTGTTGAACAAAAATGGAAACAATGGATTTTAAAACGAGGATTTCTCCTAAATTCTAGATTTTTGTTATGGAGGCCTTTGAGGAAATGGAATCTCTGGAAATTTTCAACTTAATATCTCTTTAGTAAATGAATCAGGGGAAAAATGATATTGCTTTGTACTAGCAATGGAGAATGTGAGTTCAGAAATCTTTATTGCTGACTAGTGTTTAAGAGTAACAATAATTTTAAAGTTGATAGAAAAGTCTCTAGATTTGTTCAATGAAATAATATCTAATTCTAAAGGGAAGAGTATTAGTTAATACTGTTTCATGTAAATTGCATCAAGCTTTTATAGTTATAAGATTTCAAATTAATCCAATGGAAGTGATCATAGAAAATATGGTCTTACACCTTTTACTGTTTCGTCGATGCCTCTTAAATGCAAACATGTATTTTCCTGGGAAATCGGCTCCTAAAATCTAAAAAAATACCTTGGGATGCATAGCTATCGTAGAAAAAATATGGCTTTTAACAGTGGCACTGACAGCTATAGTAAAAGTATGCCCATGCCTAATTTGATGCCCTTTTCCCACTATTTGAGCGCTGAACTTCTAAACACAAGGAAAGACTAAAATTCTTCACATTGCTTAACAATGTTTACCCCAGGAGTGAATCTTTGTTACATTTGCTCTGTTCTACTCTACTCAGCTTAGAACTGAATAAGGCTTTACTAGAAGTCTAATCACACAAGTGCCCCATTATTATTTTTTTCTTTGAAAACGATCCATATTCACTTGGTCATTCCACAGCACTAATCAGGATTATACATGAATCATGTTCTTTATAAAACCCCTAATAGCAATGTATTACTAATGAAAACTACATACAGTATTACCATAACAAGCAACATACTTTATACTTAATTAATGGTTTGATGTAAACAGAAATCCCCCCCCCCAAAAAAACAAATTACATTCAGCCCCTTTAAATGTAAGGATATATTTAATGTGAAATGCAAACATGCATGAAATAAACAATTTAACCAAAGAAACAATTTTATAAATTTGTTATTCCCTTTTAAAAAATGAACAGGAACAAGGATTACTAAATTTTGTGAAGCTACATGAAATATTGATGTTTGCCCAGAAATATTCCCAGTGGTACTTTTATATCTGTGAAAAATGCTTTACTCTCACAATCTTGGCTGCCAAATGTTTGCCAATACCTTTAACTCTAATCTTTCTGTAGCTTTATATATCACATCGTTACAAATTTCTCAAGACCAGTTTTGGGGACGTAATAGGGTCAAGCAGATTAAACAAATAAGGGAGACTGACAAAAAATAGGTATGAAGCATGCAGTCTATCAAATTAATTCAACTGGATTAATTAGTGTTGATATTTTGAATAAAGGTAGTCCTTATTTTACAACAGTTTGTTTAGTGACCATTCAAAGTTGCAACGGCACTGAAAAAAGTGACATGTCAATTTTTCACACTTTTGAAACCTCCCCATGGTAGTGTGATCAAAATTCAGATGCTTGGCAACTGACTCATATTTATGACAGTTGCAGTATCCCAGGATTATGTGATCATCTTTTGCAACCTTCTGACAAGCAAAGTCAATGGGGAAGCCAGATTCACTCAACAATTGTATTACTAAGTTAAGAACTGCAGTAATTCACTTAACAACCATAAAAGGTCATACTATGGGGCAAAATTTACTTAATGACTGTCTCACTTAGCAACATAAATTTTGGGCTAAAATGTGGTCATAAGACTATCTGTACTGATTTTTGGGATAGAAATGCATATTTTAATCTTTTTCTTATGTTTAACTTAACACTTTACTTTTTTTAAGCCAGAAGTGTAAATGTATTTAGTGGCTAAAATTACAAAACTGTAATATTTTGCCATGGTACTGGAATGTTTATTCTGATTTGGAACAGTACCCTGAAAGTGCTATGGGTTTGAAATGGGCCAATTTCAATTTCAAGATCTGATTACTTTAAACAATCACTTAGAAGTTGGAACAATTGTTCCAAAGTTTCAGTCACAATCTTTTTTGCCCCACTCTAGTCACAGACATAAACATTAACATTAAGAAATACTATTTTTTTTCCAACCTGCAACCCAAACAGTTATTTGCTCCGCTTATTGCACACATACATGTATTGTAATATTTTTGAAATTTTTTCCTGGAATTGAACATCCATATGACCCAATAGTTTGCTTAAAATTGAAAGTCTGCCAGAATAAAATTTCTTGGTATGTGTATGCTACTTTTAAGCATACACAAGTGCAAGCCATGATTATAATCTCAAAGTGCAAGCCATGATTATAATCTTGTCAAAAATTACAGCCATGGAGATTGCAATCTTATACCTCCTGACCATTGATCTCAAATTTCTTATTTCTGAGAAAACATCTATAGGATTGCACCAAACAGGAAAAAAATACCAGACAAATCTATGATACTATAGCTCAAGAGATATTTTGCATTACCAAACTGTGGCATATTAAAGGAAGTTGCCTGTAAAATATTTGCTACAATAATTGAATATCAGAAGTCCAAGATTTATAGTTGTTCATCCATAAATGAGTTGCATTACTTCATGCTTTATAAAAAGGCTATGTAAAATGCAAATATATTAGCTGCAAGCTTCTTTTCAGTATATAGAATGACTGATATATGATAGCAAATATGAATATAGACATAATGAATGCAGGTCACAGCTTTTTATGAAAATACGTAATCTCTTTCTAAAAATATTTTAATTATTTTATTTCAAAGGATTAGTTTTTAAAGCAACATTGCCCAGTATGCAAGCTGAAAAGCAGAGGCATGCCCTTGCGTACAAACTGTAAGTGCAATTCACTTACATTGCTGATAGATTTATGCAAAGCTTCACCAAGATAGTGCCGCTATGAAGAAAAGATCACAAGAATAAAGGAAATAATTCAGAAATAACTAAGAAGATGGAATTAAAAAAGGGCAGTAAAAGACAGAACATTCATATTGATATGATAAAGGAAATATGTTGAGAAAAACTAATATAGAACAGTTTTGCTATGGTCTTATAGATCTTCTGAACACTTAGAAATATATAAATCATTTCAGAATTATATGCGGTTTCTAAATGAAATTATTTTATCTTTTAGCCCAAACAGTATTCTGCATATTTAATAAATAAATTCCTGAAAAACTGGCAAATATATTTGTTAGCATATCTGTTTATAAATTTGGAAAAAAAAGTTCAGCTATATTTTTTTCAGTACTGAACATATACATTTTTTTACTTCTAAAATAATTTTGCATCATAATTTACTATTACCAATCTCAACTTAATTCATAAAAAATCTTTCTTTTCTTCTTTAAATATGAAATTTTCTTTATATCTACTCCATAGCAAAATTATATTTGAAATTTATTATATACTGCCATTTATTAACAAGCTAAATATGTACTGTCAGCATGTATAAGTGGTACATTACCATATACATTAAATGCAACATGGGTATGAGGACCACATTTGTTAAAATTGAATGATGAATAATTTCATTGTTGGATACATGATTCATTCCCAGTCATTTGTTCTTTCAATCAAATTATTAAGAACCTTAAGATGCTTACTGATCTATGATATACTTCCTAAATTATTAATTAATGTTTTATCAAAATCACAATTTACAAAGGGAACAATTCACTGTTAAAATTATGTACTAATCAAACTATTATTTGTAGCTGTCTTGAATCAATCTCATAGGAGTAATTAGTTAATAATAAAATTAACTCAGAAAATCTCACCCACAACAAAATATTCTAATCCAGAAAAACTATGAGATCTCTGCCAAATGGCAAAATCTGTTTACTTTACTGAAAGTGAAATCATTTTTGACACTATAAGAAGAAGAAACCACAACTCCTTGGTTAACTACACTGATATATTTCCAGATACATACTTTAAAGACCAAGTTCAAACTTCATTCAGTATGGCTGCTCATTTTACTGGACATTATATAGTCTACAACCAAGTTTTTTTTCTTAGTGAGGAAAGCATGAACTCTTGCTATTATGCAATGATCTAACAATAGAATCTTACTTTTGTATTGTTGGAAGAATTTCCAATCCTAGGAATTATTGGGATTGTCCTAAAGGATTTCAGAATTAAAATTATGTTTTGCTACTACTTAATTTTAAAATGTGTAAGTTGAACACAGAAATGTACATCCCATATCCTATGTAATCTTAGGGTATATGTCTATTTCTTAGCATTTTAATTTGTGTTCATCTATCTATTGCTATTGTTTTCAATAACTAGCTGTAATGGTTGAAATTAACTTACTTCTTTCAGAAAAAGAAACACAAAAGGCTTCAATTTGAAATTCTTAAAACACGTGACAGAATAAAAGAAGATAAATGCTTCCTCCAGTGTCTGTTAGCAGAAGAAATGTGTGCATCAGCTAAAAATTATACAGGTAGTCCTCAATTTACAATCATTCATTTAGTGACTGTTCAAAGTTTAGCATCGAAAAAAGTGACATGGCTGTTTTTCACACTTACGACTGTTGCAGCATCCCTATGGTCACGTGATCAAAATTCAGATGTTTGGTAACAGGCATGTATTTATGATAGTTGCAGTGACCCAGGATCATGTGATCACCTTTTGTGACCTTTTGATAAACAAAGTCAATGGGGAAGCCAGATTCACTTAACAACCATGTTATTAATTTAACAATTGCAGTGATTCACTTAACCACTGTGGCAAAACTCATTTAATAACTGCCTTGCTTAGCAATGGAAATTTTGGGCTCAATTGTGGTTATAAGTCAAGGACTACCTATACTGGAATAAGATTCCATAAATCCCTTCCTGTCCAAGTACTGTGATTTTTGCAACTCTCTAATCGAACATACTGATTTATTTGTCTAGAACTTATTAATCTATTTACTATAAAATACAGTATAGAATAGAACCCTGCCTGTTTTTTTTAAAGTAACATGGACGGAACTGAATGATGCCATAACCTTTATAGCCAGCATTCTAGTGTGCTGGTTGTATGGCATGTTCCTATTTTTAAAAATTTAAAAATATTGAGTCATATATACATACAAGGTCAGAGAAATCTACACATTTTTATCAAATTTAACAAGTATTCTTATCAATTTTTAAGAGGATTAATTTTGCAACAAAAAAATCTCACTTCAATAATCTAAAAGTGAAATTAATTATTCTGGTTACCTGATCCAAAAGTTCTTCCACTTTTTTCTGCCAGCTATCTCTGGCGACATTTTTCTCTCTCTCCTTTAGCTGCAAGAGTTGTGTCATTGCTGACTTTTTATCTTCTTCATGCTGAAGTCTCAATTCCTCTCTAAGTTTTGTACATTCCTGCCTAAAAAAAAAAGAAAAAAAAAGGCAAAGCTAAAACTTATTCTACTATTTAAAACATTGTAGAAGCCTTGTTGAAATGCACAGTCTTGGTCAAAACATTATTGTATTAAGCTATATATTTGTTCCTTTGAATCGGTTATTGACTCTTGGGACTACCTGGACTAGTCCCTACAGTTTTCTTCACAAGATTTTCTAAAATGGTTTGCCATTGCCTTTGAGTTAAGAGAAAGCGAATGATCCAAAGTCATTCAACAGGCTTCATGCCTAAGGCAGGAATAGAACTCAGGGTCTCCTGGTATCTAGCCAGATGCCTTACCTATTGCATCAAATTAGTTCCTATTTATTAAGATACACATTTCTTTAAAAGAGAAAATAAGTGGAAATAATACTTGCCGAAGATTTTCTGTCCATTTTATTTCCAGATCACGAGCCATTCTATCAAGTTTTAATTTTTCCTCTTCCCTCATGGTTACAATCATTGCTTCATGGTGCTGTCTCTCCTGGTTTAACTCCCCCTTAAAATAAAAAATATCTATAACAATATTATGCTAAGAAATAACATTAATGCATTTCAAAATGCAGAATTTTAAGTATTTTTATATTAACAGGGAAATGTTTAATGTGGCTGTCCATTAAATACAAAGCAACTCTACATAGCATACAATTAAATAAAACAGCATATAAATAAAATAAAACATGATAAAGGATAAAATGTAATTGTTAAAATGAGGCCATTATAGAAAAAAATAAATATACAAATACCACAGAGAAAGGAGGACTATCAATCATAGTGGAGCTATCTAGGAATGTCTCCAGTTCTCAAAGATCCCCAGGACTAGTGCCATCCCAGATGGCATCCCATCCCAAATGCCAAAATGGCATAGCTCTGGAACAAGTAGGACCCCAAAACCAAAGCCTACTGTGCTCCATGCAGTCCTTCACAAACTATGGACACTAAGATATTCACCGGCTCACTTAATTTACTAAGAGATGTATAGCTGGTAGCAGCGTATTGATGATACCCTACCACATAGTCATGGATAAGCTCATCCATTGGCTTCATGTAGATATTAGAAGGGACATTACCGAATCCTGTCTATAATTATAACAACAGTTTTGCAAAATATTGTTATGTATATAAGACAGACCTTTACCCATAGCTCAACCAGTAGCTGACCTATATATGGAAGATAACAATATTTGCTAAATGAAACCATCATCTTATGGTCAATTAGCAAATCCACAAGCAGAAGATGAAAGCAACACTTTCATTTGCTCCTGCTAGCTGTTACAATGGTATATCTATTATAAACCCTGAGGTTGCAAACAATTGTATTAGCAAGCATTATTTAATAGACAATTTTCCTTAATTTGTCTAATACCCTTTTAAACAAGCTGAAAACCATTGTCATATTAAATAAATTAAATAAAAGATTTCTCCATATATTGCATGGAAGGTCGTATGACCACCTGAATTTGCCTAATAGAATGGATACATATGATAGACTTCTGCATTTACCTCAACATTATACAAGGAGTCAGTGGTTTCTCTCAGTTTTGTCTGGGTTAATTCTAATTCTTTTTGCAATATTTCTTGGGTTTCCTGAAGGCTAGAAATCTGTCCTTCTGCAGTATTAAGGCCCTGCTCACTTTTCTTTAAGACATCCTGTAGATGCTCCACCTATAATACAGAAAGAAAATAATGTAAGTTTGTTAAAAAAAAGAAATCAGATTTGTGTTTGATGAATGTATATTCAGATTCTCACAAATTATCTTATTTTTCAATCTTCATTTTCATCTACTGAACCCAAAATTAACTAATTGTTCTTAAATCATATAAAACAAAGAGATAATATATCTCTAACATTCATTTCCATTATCCATTTAGAAGAACTAAACACATACAACCTTATGTATATGTTAAGTGATGCTGGTAATAAATAACATATTTTTTACCAGCATCATGTGTTCTGATAGAAAATACTGTGAAAAGTTGTATCAAGATCTGAGGGAAGAAATGAGGGAATAATCCTCCCCAAAGGAAGTCCAATGATAATAGTGCCTAGCCAGAAAACATACAATGTTGACCGCATTTGACAGCAGAAATTAATCTGTAATCTCTATGCATGTGCATATATGTGTATAACACTCAGAATCCAAATCAGTGATTAATATTATCACTTGTGATATTGAATTCCATATGTAAAATAGTATTGAATGGGTAGCCTATTAGTTTTGTTAGTGATCTAAAATTCTAGCACTAAAAGAACACATTTCTTTCAACATAGTTTATAAAATATACACCATGAATAAAAAAATATAAAAAAATATTTACAGAATTGTTCTTTTAGCCAGAAAGAAGCAGAACAGAATGAATCCAAGTCTAAAATACCAATTAAGAAAAAACATTAATAATTAAACATAGTTGAATGCATACAGCTTTTTGGTAATATGATTGTGTTGGTTCTTACCTCCTGATTGGAGGAAGTCAATTTTGTTGTCAGTTCTTCCCTTAGGCTTGCCAACTGCTGTCGGAGTTGATTCTTCTCATCTTCAAAACGTTGTTTCTCTTTCTCAAATTGCTGCTCCAGCTCCTTAAAAAACAAAACAAGGCAGAAAAATGTTAAGTCTTCTGCTGTTTATTGATTATATTCTTCAAATATTGCTTAACGACTTATATTCTGTTTTCCTACTCAATCTCCCATATAATCCAGAAATGGGCTTCAGAGAGCAAATGAATCTAAGGCAATCCTCTCTAGATAACCTTAAAGCCTAGAACAGCGGTTCTCAACCTGTGGGTCGCGACCCCATTTGGGGTCGAATGACCATTTCACAGGGGTCGCCAAACGCGATCCGCCATTTTTTTCTCAGCTGGCGCAGGGGGTGGCACCGCTCATGTGCGCCGCGCAGGGGGCGGCCCCGTGCATGTGCGCCGCGCAGGGGGCGGCCCCGTGCATGTGCGCCGCGCAGGGGGGCGCTGCGCATGTGCAGCATGCAGGAGGCGCCGTCGCGCATGTGCGCCATGCAGGTGGCGCATGGGGTGCCGCTGCGCATGCGCGCCGCTGCGCATGCGCACCGCCTGCTCATGACCGGGGTCGCCGGTCTCTAAAGATTGAGAACCACTGGCCTAGAAGGATTGAGATTGATAATTCATCAGTCAAGACCCCTTTACACCTCTGCTGCATGAAGTACTCTGGCTTCTAGTTTCTTTCTGGATGAAATTCAAAGTATTGGTTATCACCTTTAAGGCCCTGTATGGTACAAGATCAGGCTATATGCAAGGCTATCTCTCTCCCTAATGGTACATTTCTAAAATGTCAAACAGGACAGGTGAGGTCCTTATCTCTTTCCTCAACTGTTGCCATCTGGTGGACTAGAAAGCACCACATCTCTGTAGAACTTCCTGCCCTGTGGAACATCCTCCCCCACGACCTCTAGCAGACCCCCACTCTTCTCTCCTTCTAGAAAGCCTTGAAAAACGGACTCTTCCCTCAAGGGTGATGGTGGAGCCTGATTAATCTAAATATTGCTATACAGTAGTCCTTGACTTATGATACCAATTGGAACTGAAATTTCTATAGTAAATCATTGTGGTCAGACCCAATTTTATGATAATTTTTATGGCAGTTGTTAAGTGAAATCACTTTTTTTGTTGGAAATTGGCAAAAAAGATTACAAATCATGATAACATGACCACAGGACACTGCAACCGGTTGTAAATGTGACCAGTCGCCAAGCATCCCAACTAAAATCATGTGACCACTGAGGATGTGACTTTCATAAGCACAAGTATGAGTTATAAGTCACTTTTTTTTGAGGCCACCATAACCTTGAACCATCATTAAGTGAATGGTCATCAGTCAAGGGCTACTTGTATGGAGAAGTGCTTGCTTTGGGCTACCAGGAGTTTTGGTGCTGGTTTCATTGTCTATGTTTTTATTGCTCTTTCAATGGGTTGACCAGGGTTATGGTACATAGGAAGGGTGGCCATATAAGTCATTTAAATTAAATAAAATCAGGTTTTATCAAAAATATGGATAACTACTGCCATGTTCATTCTGTTCAGTAATTTCACAGCTGGAGCATTAGACCTAAATCTACAGGTAGATGGGTTGGGCAAACTGCAGCTTAATAAAAAGAAGCTGCCAAATCTCCCCCATTTTTTTTTTTTTACTTTTTAGTGTTTTAATATGAAGTAATATGTAGGAAGATTTAGTGGATAGCTTATTTAGAGGGAAGTGTGTAGTGGGGTGCCCCAGGGCTCTGTTCTGGGCCCAGTGCTCTTCAACATCTTCATCAATGATTTGGATGAGGGGATAGATGGAACTCATCAAATTTGCAGACGACACCAAGCTGGCAGGAATAGCCAACACTCCCAGAAGACAGGCTTAAGATACAGGAGGATCTTGACAGACTTGAATACTGGGCGCTAACAAAATGAAATTCAATGGTGAAAAAAGTAAGGTTCTACATTTAGGCAAGAAAAAACAAACGTACAGGCATAGTATAGGTGGTACCTCACTCCATAGTAGTAACTGTGAGAGGGATCTTGGAGTTCTAGTGGACAATTATTTAAATATGAGCTAGCAGTGTGTTGCAGCTGCCAAAAAAGCCAACACAGTGCTAGGCTGCATTAACAGAGGGATAGAATCAAGATCATGTGAAGTGTTAATACCACTTTACAATGCCTTGGTTAAGGCCACACTTGGAATACTGCATCCAGTTTTGGTCACCACGATGTAAAAAAGATGTTGAGATTCTAGAAAGAGTACAGAGAAGAGCAACAAAGATGATTAGAGGACTGGAGGCTAAAACATATGAGGAACGGTTGCTGGAATTGGGTATGTCCAGTTTAATGAAGAGAAGGATGAGGGGGGACATGATAGCAGTGTTCTAATATCTCAGGGGGTGCCATAAAGAAGAGGGAGTTAAACTATTCTCCAAAGCACCTGAAGGCAGGACAAGAAGCAACGGATGGAAACTAACCAAAGAGAGAAGCAACCTAGAACTGAGGAGAAATTTCCTGACAGTTAGAACAATTAATCAATGGAACAACTTGCCTCCAGAAGCTGTGAATGCTCCAACACTGGAAGTTTTTAAGGCGAGACTGGACAGCCATTTGTCTGAAATGGTATAAGGTTTCCTCCCTGAGCAGGGGGTTGGACTAGATGACCTCCAAGGTCCCTTCCATCATCATTATCAAAAAGTTTTTGACAAAATCCCTGACCAAAGTTTCTTCAGTAATCTTAGTTAAATGAATGAGTTACCTATTTTCTCTTTGGATATCACACATGAAACAGAGAGCAGGAATAAATGGCAGCTAATTTGTTTAGAAGTAGGACCATTCTCATGATGATGGATTCTTTTTTTGATGTTTTGTTTTCTTCATGTAATTAAAATTGGGACAACTGCTGCAGCAGTTTTATAGAAATATAGAAGAGAAAAAAGGAACTATCATTTCAAAAATAAAAGCAGTTTATCTCTACCAAAGGAAATAAGTGTCCCTCCTAAAGAAGGAAGCAAATAAGTGCTACAGAAGGAAATTCAAAATGACCATCCGTATCTTGGATGATTTGACCTAATTTCTTCTAAATTATTCTACAATCTGAATTTAATATTAGGATTAGTCATAAGGGAAGTAAATCTAGTATTCATGGAGATTTTGTATTACAATTAAAAACAACTCAACATATGTTGTTATAGTAAAACAGGAACAATCATAGCAATTTATTTTTCGCTTACCATTTGCAGTTTCTTTTTTTCCTTGCTAGCATTGTTATGTGCTGCTTCAAGAGCAGTATTATGTTTCCATACCAACTCCTCCAAAGCCTTGGAATGAACTTCTTTTAGCTGTGTAGTCTCTCCTTCTAGTTTAACTTGCAATTTCATTAGCTCCTTTTCATAATATTCTTGTTGTGTTTCCCTTGCTTCATTTACTCTCTTTAATTTAAACAATACAACTTAGAATCAAAATCAGATAAATGTATTTTGAAAACCATACAGTATGCTCTTGAGTTCATTACACTTCAGATGCCATTGTGGTTTTGTCCTATGCATGCAATATCTAAGCTATGTCATAGTTTAGATATTAATGATGTGGGAATGATAAGGCAGATCAGATTCTCTCCTTCAGCTGACCTGAACATAGCTCACTTAATATAACAGAACTAGATATGAATCTTTATTACACATTTAAGCAGATTTCAGCTTAAATGAGGATGCAAGCCTTTCGTATTCTATAGTACAAATCTGGCATTTCCCCCTGCCTTTTCCACATATTAATGAAACCTTATTTCTCTCATTTAGTGGAAGATGGTGGTTATTGGCATATTTAGCATCCTTGTTCTCATTAACTGTAACTCCCAAAATATTTCTAACAGCTTGTAGATTAATCAGTTATGCAATAGCAGTTGTATGTTATATCACATATTGAGTATTAAGAAACTGGTAATGAACGCCTTGCGCAACTAATGCTTACAATAATGAAATAGCTTGAATTGTGTAATATGTTGTGCAAGCAGACTTCAAGATACTAGTTCTTATGTACCAAGATAAAAATGGTGTCCTTTCAAGCAATGCAGCTTTTATGCAAGTGAAGTGACGCTTTTGAATATGGAGGCCATTCAAAGAGAGAGAACAAATAGTTTTCATATTTACATAAAATCTACACAATATGAGTTTTCATTTGTAACCCACCCATGAATATTTTACCTTCTCCAGTATAACAAGTTGCTGCCTTTGTCTTTCATCCAGACTTTGTGTTTTACTGTGTAACACATTTCTTTCCTCTTCCAGCTGAGACAATTTCTCCTTTAATCTGGATTTTTCTGATTCCAAATCAGATATTGTGACTTCCTGAGTCATTTGAGTAGCTTGGAGCATTCCAACATGACCTGTAAAAATGAAGCATTAAGTACTTCTGGAATATTAATATTTGTATTTGAATGGCTTCTCATACTGGCCTGGTTCACATTATGTACCAAGCTATAATGTGGCTGGTTTTAACTTACTGGGTTGTGAGAATATAAACCACAGATGATAACTCCAGGTATTGTATGAATCCAGGCATTAATTTATTCAGTGAACAATGGTTATACAGACTTTGGCTTAATCTCACTCATTATGGGGACAAATTTGAAACAGGAGATATTCTGGAATGCCTCACTATAATATCATACAATGTTAGACTTGATTCATTGACCAGAAGTACAATACTAGGCAGGCTGAAATCTGAAGGAAGGTTACTTTGTTCCTTTTTGTACATATTTTCATGGTTTAGCTCCTGATCTCCTACTATGATGCTACTTGTTTCATAGTAAGAGAATTAGTGAATAAAGCTCCTCATAAAAACAGATGTTTTTAAAAAGAATTAATTCTAGTTACAATACCATATTATCTCAGACAAAATTGCAATCAGATACATGTAGAAGCAAAAATATTTCAGTTCACCTTCCATCAGCACTATCCCAACTCCACAAAGTATTTCTATGATGTTATCACATAGACCTTCCATGATTTAAAGTTGAATTGCTTGTCTTAAATTAGACAAGAGCTATATACAGACTGTCTGATTTTTTTTGTACCTTTAAAATGTTTGAATCATATTTATAATATATGGATTTACATCTTTTATTATAGACATTTATTTTTTCTACAATGCTACTATTAAGCAGTTTTTCAAAATACTAATAATCTGAAAGTAACTATATATATTGTGGAAAATATATATATTTTGCTATTACTTGCTAAACAAAATTGTGTTAGCTGGATAGGAGATAGAAATGTTTATCTTTATAATAGACTGCTTATTTATTAGGTTTCCCATATAATGCAAACCAAACTCTGCTCCAAAAATGTTGTAAAAGTAAGGTACTATCAAAAAGACATAGTTCTCTGGTTTGTTATATACCACACTTTTTTAAAAAAATATATCAATGTCTATATAATTGGAAACACATTAAGGCAGGGATGTCAAACTGCAGACCTGCGTCATGCCAAAACTGTACCTACCCCATTGCCGGTAATGGAAAAAAAGTCACGATACGTCGCAACACATCATGTGACGTTGTTTCAAGAGTTTTAGTTTCATTTTTAGAAAAATTGTGTCAAAATGACTTCAATTTTTTTTCAGAATTTAAGTGTAATGAGGCAGCTATCTTAAGCAGCTGATCCTAGGAAACAGTGGTGAGATGCTGAAAGACGGATCTACGGACATTTTGAAGACATTGTGCATTATGCATTATGAATTCCCCTTGTTTCCTCAGTTGGGGTGGAATACAGTGTCTATTTCCAATATCTTCAATTGTCAAAACAAATAAAATAGAGAAATGCCCAATATAACATATTAAGGGTAAAAAGGTAAAGGATCCTTTACTCCAGGCATGTCAGATTCGTGAGTCATGTGACGTCGTGCGACATATTGTGACTTTTCCCCCATTGCTGGCAATGGGGTAGGCGCGGTTTTGTTGTGATGCATCCGGCCTGCAGGCCAGCAGTCTGACATGCCTGCTTTACTCAATTACTTAAGACAAAGGTTGAAAACCTGTGTTCCTTCGCATGTTAATAATACCCATAATCTGCCAGTTCTAGCTTTGTTAGTTGGAACAGATGAGAGCAGTATCCAATACCAATATTAGCTGAGTAATGCGCAGAGCTAATAAAGAACAAAACACTACAGCGTGTGACTGCAGCAAAATTCACAATTAACCTTATAGTTTTTCACATAAGAAGTCAGATGTGGGATAATAATTTGAATGAAACATGGTATATCATTTCATGTACAAAATAACAGGTATCAGAAATCCAAACAGTTTAAAAAAGAGAACTAGGCCATTGTAATAGTCAGATGATAGTATCTACTTAGTATCTGTCATAATTATTTTAGCTGGGATATTTTGTTCAAATGGACTCTTTAAATATTCATTTTTGCATGTTATATTTAAATCAACTACACTTAATTCTTAGTTCTTCATAACACATTTTATAAGTATTTTGTAAAATTCAAACTATAAAATATTTCCAGAAAAACATGAAAAATAATTCAGACCATGCTTCCCCAAATTAGATTAATATTGCCAACATTTCTGTAGGGAGGACATTGGCTAAGTAAGGCTTATGTCATAAGACTGCAATCATCTGCATATTTGCTAGTACTAAGCCTTACTGAATACTGAATCCTACAGATTCTGCTGGATCTGATATTTTGCCTAAGCAATGAAAACAGAGACTGAAACAAATAAAATTATTTCTTAATAAAAATAAGAAATAAAGATACTTTTGTATGAAAAAGTTAGCATTTGTCTTATGCATCAAATGTTATCTAGGAACAAACATTCTAACCACAATAACTTAAAATGGATTATATACAAATAGAAACATACACACATACTAGCTTTTAGCACTAGGTCTGTGGCTTGTTGTTGTAAGCGCTCTCTTGCAGCTGCTAACTCAATTTCAACCTCTTTGTGTTTGCTTAACAATGACATTTCTTCCTCTTTGACATCATCTAGTTGTTTTTGAAGAGCCTAAGAGAACAGAGAAAATTATTAAAACTGTATTGTAAATCTAAAAGTTGAACATAGAGGGATATTATCAATATACAAAACAAATATTCTGTAACTTCCTTGCTTATGTATATTTGCATTCAGTTTGTCAGTTCTGAAATTTCCATAAGTTCTATATGACTTTTGCATAGAAGTCTGTCAAATATATGCCTACACTTTCACTTTTAGTAACAAAGATATTCTGGTAAATGTGCATTACTTATATTATTCACAATAGTACATAATTATCTGTGATTAATTAGTGAAAAATGAGTGCATATGTACTACATAGTGAACTGGACCTAAGAACTATGATTAAAAGTAAAACATTTAATAGCACTATTCTGCATCAAATTGAAAAAATACATGAAATGTTATGTCAATTCTAAAGCAGTTGCTATGTTTAACATTAGGCCAGAGATAATGCAAGATTTTATTTAAATGTTTATTCAAATAGAAAAAAACCTGGATTTATTTCATTTTTATGATATTGCCGTTTAGAGGAATATTTTCTTCAAATCTGGGCTGTATTTTAGTCATAAAAACCTGTATGAGGGCCATTTAAAATAAAATATTGTGTGGAATATGATAAATGTCCCTCCACTAGCAAACTAATTTCATATGCAAAAGAAGGGAAAAAAATTTCAACAGTTTTCTACCTTTCTGTGTAGCCCTACTACAATCTCTTACCCAGAATAATCTCATCCAATGCAAAGCAGATAGATACAAAGGGAGGATAAATTGCTGAAAATACAGCAATTTTATTCTTCTACTGACAGAATAGAAAGCTGTATTATACTTTGTAATTGCAATATTATAAAATTTTATAATTTTATCATTATATTATAAAAGAAATACACTGAAAAGAGTAAATTATAAAAAGATTAGTTAATATCAAAATTCCAAAAGCTGTTGGATAAATCAAATAGGTTCATTAAAAGAGAATTCTTTAAAACAGAATTTCACAGTCTTTGTGAAGTGTCAAAAAGGCCTCATATAATATAGTTACTAAGTAATGATATATTAAAAAAAATGCTAAGGATATTTTGACAAGTCATACTAAATATTCCAATAATATTGTAGATAGGTTAGCATTTTGCCCTAAGGAAAAACTCATTTAAAATGTGAAATAAATGTTAATTAGAATAGATATTAATTTCCATTAAAAATGAAAATCTATTAAAAGAACCCATGGCAATTTAAAATGCAGCTTAGAAGCAAGATTGAAACCAATGAATAAATATGTTACTGATTACAAATCAGAATTATATACTGTTTTGATCATCTCTTCAGGCTGTGTTAGATGACAACAAGGTAAAACTTGTAAGTGTTTAAAATGCAAGATGAGAGTGAAAACACCATTGGGCAAAAATTAACATTTAGTACAATATTCTTTCCTACATTTCCAAGTACAAAATACTTAAAATTACTCAATATTGTAGAAAGAAAATCAAATGAATTATGCAGATAAATAGCAATAGAACTTAGACTTATATACTGCCTCATAATGCTTTACACACACACTGGCTGGTTTACAAAGTCAGCATATTGTCCCTAACAATCTGAGTCCTCATTTTACCAACCTCAAAAGGACGTAAGGATTGAGCCCCGTCAGATTAAAACTCCAGGTTGTGGGTAGAGTTTGCCCGCAATACTGCATTCTAATCACTGCACTATCAGAACTCCTTATTTTAAAATAAACTATACAGGAAATACTTGACTACGACCATTCGTTTAACAATAGTTCAGAATTACAATGGTCTTGGAAAAAGTGACCTACAACCTGTCCTAGAAGTTATGACCACCCCATCCCTGTGGTCATGTGATCACAATTCAGGTGCTTGGCAACCATGTAGCATTTACGATGGTTGCAGGTTGTGCTGTCATGTGATCACAATTTGCAATCTTCCCAACCTGGTTCCAACAAGCAAAGTCAATTGCTAAAGTTGGATTTACTTACTTGACTATGTGACACAAAGAATCAGAGCCATGCATTAAATTGCAGTTCAACCTTTATTGCTCAAGGCTACACACAAGAATCTAGCTAACAAAATTCAACACTAAACGGGCACCAGATAACAACCAGCACCAGATAACAATCAATGACTTCAAGGGGGACTGAACTTAGGCTGTTTGTGGGAACATAATGACTCTAGGAGGATGATTCGTTTAACTCCATCCCCCAGCTCTGCCTGCTCTTCTCCTACTATGATTCACTTAACCACCAAGTGATTCATTAATTACCATAGTAGTTTGATTCACTTAATAACTGTGATAAAAATGGTCATAAAATCAGGTCTGGACACATAATGACTCTCTTTATGACTGCACCAATTTATGACATAATTTCCAAACCCAAATCTGGTTGTAAGTTGAACACTACCTTTATTCACATTCTATATCATAGCAGTAACAATGCAAACAGGCACAGAGACCACTCAAAGGATCTCAGTTATGGGTGAATTATAGTTAGGGAATCTGTATGTGCTGGAATTTCAAGTAGCTATTTATTTCTTTATAGCCTATATTTTCCCTAGGCGTCAGGTCCAAACAACCAAGGGTTACTTCTAAGTAGTTTCTTTATTATTGCTTGCCTAAAAACAAATTCTTGCCAGATGAAAACAACTATCTGCAATAACCAAAACATACTCCATGAATTACCAGGGAAGGTCTGACCTTGCTCTCTTCCTACCTACCAGACATTCCAAATTCTGCTGTCTCTTTGCCCTCTGGGAAAGAGCTCTTGCCTCCTGTGACTCCTGACTACACTTCTACATTTCAGGGCAATATACAGGGGATTTTATTCTGTAAGCAAGTTGTCTGCCAGGGAATGACAGGCTAAAATCACTCAGTAATTCTTAAAATGTGAGGAAATATTAGTAACTGAGCTACAGGAAATAGAAATGCATTTAATGATGTAATTAATATATACTAGGGCTGTGTAGGGCTTTAGATTTGAAGGCAAACGGGTATCCTGGAATATGCATGGTCCTCATTTAGATCTGTCTGCAACTCTTAAGTGAAATGCATCATTTTCCAGGATTCTGCAGCTACAGCCAGTTGCTTTAAAAAGTTGCAGAAAGATAGGTAATGTAAAAAATAAGCAATATGAATCTCTAAAAACAGAATTTTTAATTTAGGGATAGGAAAAGAATAAAAAGTGATATTCAATATTATTGGTACAAAATAGTTAATAAAGATAAATTATTCCTCCCCTTTGTGGCCATTTGTGCAAACATACGTATTTTCAAGGTATACAATGTAAACCTATTGTAAACCAAAGAAATTAAAGGTATGAAATAAGAAAAAGGAGAGCAAATATAGCTAAAACTAGTACATATCTTTACTATACTATTCCATATCTTTCTCTCCTTGCAAACCATTCTTGCTTTTTACCTTGATTTTACACTGCCTAATACTCTGCGCTTTGTTCTATAACTTATCCTTTTTTCAGAATTTCATCTCCATCCAGCCATGACTTTTTCAGTTTTCCTCTATTTCTAATTTCTTTCCTCATCAGCCAGTGTGATTGTGGGATAGTGCTAGGGAGACCCATATTCAAACTAGGGAGACCCATCTTCAAACATAGCAGGCCTGACTTTTGGTAATTCAATGTCTATTTCTACTGCATCCAAATTATTTTTATACTTTTCCTGACACACTTAGCTCTTTCTACAATATAACAAAGTGGGGTGTTTGCATACTATTATATGCAGTCATCTTCACTTCTTTCAACATTAACATATATTATTTTCAGAAGAGAAAAAACACTACCCATGGTTTCAAACTAGCATTTGCATGTAAAATTTCTCCATCTTTACTAAATATTCTACCAAATATATATATATATATATTCATCCACTTGATATATTTTTATTTATATACAATTCACTATAGCTCTTTTTGTCCTATCAAATATAACATCCTTGGTCTTTGATATACTGATTTTTACATGCATGCTATTTATTGCATTAAAAAATCTAAATGCTTTTTAGATTTCAACCAATTCACTGCATCATATGCTTTCTCTAAATCAACAAATGTACATAAACTTTCTCTTATTCATGCATTTTTTTGTATCTTTCTAAAGAGCAAAAATCTAGTCTACACACATTGCCTACACATTACATTAATCTACATATCCTACACACAGTACTTCACAGCTTTTACCCATTGTCACATTTTATAACTTTCAATCATAATTCTTCCAAGCATCTTTCCAGTTAGCCTTAATAAAATTTGCTGTTTTCCTTTGTATTAGTGAACTATGAACAGCCTTCCTCCAATTGTCAGGTACAGATAAAAACTTCACATCTTTAGAAAAATCACAGTCATTCCATAAACACAACATATCGATATTGTAACTTTTATCCAATTCAGTATTTAGTGGTTTTTATTTAGTAAGCATTTTCAGTTCCATTCTTCAACATGCCATTATTATTTCCATTAAGAATATCTATTCCAAGAAAAATTAGGAAAAGATATGGACAATACAATTACAACCTTAATTTTAACAATAAAATAATATTTTGATCTGGGCAAATGTGCATATGTATGTGTACATATAAATACACTAACATTTCAACTTTCCATCAGAGAAGATGCCCATGTAAGAAGACTTGAGCACATAAAGGAAAATGTGAAATATACAGTACATGCAATAAATAATAATAATTACATAAAAGTTCCAGATATAGTGAGGGAAAATCTACTCCTTCACTTAGATTAGAGAAATAAGACTTTCCCCACTTGCTTTCTTCTACTGCAGCCTCTTAAGCCACTCCTTTAGCTCAGTAGATGTTATAAAACAGAACAGAATGTTTATTGGCTCCTGCAGGGAAGGGAAAGGATTTTAGAACCAAAATTGCTTCCGCAATGAGCTCTAAAAAATCTAAGCCATTAATTTTAACAGAACACTATTGGCCTTCACTATTAGAAGAAAAGCTGCTGCAGTTTTATACAGAAAAGCAAACTTTATCACAGCTCTAAATAAAATAGGAAGAAATTACTTGGTCGTCAATCTATTGCAGGTAAACTAATCTGATTTACACCCAGCTGAGCAACTTGAAATTTCATCAACCTCATTCTATTACAACTGTATTTATTTATTGTTAAAGAAATAGCATAAGAATAATCATCTCACCTGTACACTGTTTTCTGAGGTACTTAGAGCCACCTGAAGCTTCTGGCATTTTTCTCGAAGAGCCCCTGCTTCATCCTGAGCCATCTGCAACTCAGTTTTAAGCTTCCCCAGATTTTTTCGTATAACTGATTCTTGACTCTGAAATTCCTTTTTTAGTTCTACTTCCTTTTCTTTGCAGGATTTCAGGCTTTCAGCTGTAAACAGTTGTGATCTTTTCATAGTATCAAGTTCATGTTCATAGAAAGATTGAGCTTTGCTGAGTTTACCTTCGTACTCCTCAATAAGTTTTTTTCTTTCTATTCTTAGCTCTTCTATTTTAGCATTCAACTGTTCCACATCCTGCCTATGCAATTCTTCTATTTTTTCCTGACCTTTGCTTAAAGTAACATTTTGATTTTGATGTGTCTTCGTAAGTTCTTGGACCTCAAGTCTATGTGCAGCTTTCAGCTCTTCCAGAGCTGAACGTTTATCTTTCTCAAATTGTAACTGCAGTTGTATAAAACTTCGTAATCTTTCCTCAAATTTCTTTCTAATTTCTTCCACTTCACGTGACATAGTTACAACACGCTGGACATGCTGAGCTTCTGCACAGAGTTGCATATCCTCAACTCTGTCCTTATAAGCCTCAAATTCAGTTAAGGCTTGATGCTTCATCTTTTTGTGATCTTCTAAAGACTCTTCTAAGACCTGGATTTTTCTTTTTAGATCCATTTCTTCAGAAACTTTACCCTTATATTGCAAAATTTTTTCTCTGGTTTCTGCAAGAATTTGTTGAATTTCTTCTTCGTGAGCATCCTTGAGAGCTTGCATAGCAGCTTCATGTTCATCATTTTTTGTGTTCAAAGCATATATTACCTGTATATATGAATATATAAAAATATATATTTTCTTATAAATTATTTCAAAACAATACAATATGAGAAACTGTATGGTGAAGTTCAGAATAACACAAAAATATATTAATATACAACAAGATTAATGGCTATTTTCTAATTAAAATATCATGGGCAGCAAAATTAACTACGTTAAAATGTAATATATTAAATATGTGGTATTGTTTCCTAAGTCTGTGTTCTACATTGAGAAAGCACCTTTAAGCCTATCTATGTACTTGAACTAGAAAGCAAACACACAAAAAAAAGCATTCTCCATAGATCAGGTCTGGGACAGAGACTGGCCAGAAGTCAAGACCGAGACTTCTCTATGATGCAAATCCTATGAACTACCTAAGGAGAAAACTAACAATTGAACATTATATATTTATCTTTTTATCTGGCCATCTGATTTCCAAATGACACTGAAGGACCTGCAACTAAGAACTAATATATACCAAAAAGCATATAAAAGATATAACAGACTGGAAGAGCAATGTATCCAAAGCAAAACCAAAATAAAACAAACAGGCAAAGAAAGAAAAGACAATCACCTTGTCTCCCAACATCTGGGAGAACAAGGATTTGAATAGTTTCCTTGAACAACATAATGGGAAAGGGGAGCCACACAGATCCCTGGGGAGGGGGTGTTATTCCATAGAGTGGGAACTGTAACTGTGTTGGTGTATGTTCTGAGTTCCACAAAATGTTATTTAATTGACAGGACTTGAGAGCATCTATCTTGCTAGACTGTACAAGTGGGCAGGGATGACTGGAACTAGGTGGTTCCAGGCCCTAGGGGCTTCAAAGGTGATAACCACTATCTTGAATTTCACCCAGGAGCCGAAAAATGTAGCCACTCAATCTTGTAAGGATTGATGACAAATCTGCTCCTGCATTTCTCCTCTGACAATATATAATCATACCAACCTAATAAAATACTTGATTTCTCGGTCTTCAGAGGCATCAATTACCATGTTTATTACATCTCATCCTTCTGCCACAAGGCTTCAGATAATTTAATATTATAACAGATGATATAAGTTAACTTATAGAATACTGCAGCAACTTGCCTAGAACATTCAGTGTACTTCCTGCAGGAGAATAACATAACTCAAGAGGGCCACTTGCACTTTACAGCTCAAACAGCCACTCCCCCATTCCTCAAGGTTGTGTAAAATTGGTAAATCCAGTGGAAGGACTGGTGTTTATTAGTCCTGTTAGTCTCTCATCAGTGATGTTTCTAGATCTTCATCACATTTGAATTCATATTAAGAAAATTATGAGAGAGAATGAATGAAAAAGCAATTTAAATGGGGAACAGTGGAGTAAAGGGGTATGTGCCCAAATACCCATATCTGACATCGTGGTTTATTTTTTTTTAAATCGGAAAAATGAATCATATTGTAGATATGCATCGCAATATCCGCAGATGAAAATACATAGTGAAAATCTATTTTAACAGACTTAATAACCCTAATTGGGATTGGCAAATCTACTATTAAGCCAAAGTGGTCACTAAGCGGGAAACCACACAATGATGATTGTATTTTTTGGTTGGAAAGAGACAAGACTAGTTAATTTATAATTAAGGTCTGTGAGTTATAGAATCAAACTATAATACTGAGGTTCTCTTGCATAAAAAGATTTTCTCCTTTCTTACACACTGCAGTGAGTATGGGGTCTGCTGCCTATTTATATGCATTAATCTACCTTACCAGTTTTGGTGGGGATATAGTTTCCTCCATGGTGGTTTTCACGTTCCTATTTTCTGCTTGACTGTTTATCAGGTGCTAATCTCAGCTTATCTGAATGTTAGTTGCTGAAGGAGATGTGTACTAGTCTTTTTGTTTTCTTCCTAGATTTTGTTATTGTCTCTTTTGAATAATGTGTAAAGGTAAAGATCTCCTCTGTCCAATCATGTCCAACTCTAGGGGGGGGTGCTCATCCCCATTTCCAAAGACATTTCCCTGGCAATGTGGCCAGCATGACTATACACCAAGGTGCACAGAACGCTGTTATCTTCCCACCAAAGTGGTACCTATTTATCTGCTCACATTTGCATGCTTTTGAACTGCTAGGTGGGCAGGAGCTGGAGCAGGTAACAGGAGCTCACCCCATTGTTCAGCACTCGAAACCCAGTCTTTAACCGCTGAAACATCAATCCCCCCCCATGATGTGAATAGTATGTAAATGTGCCTTATGTCTATGTAGCTATTAATGGTTGATTTGTCTGAATGCCAAGCTTCTGGGAATTCTCTAGCATTTTTGGATTTGGCTTGATCTAAGATGCTAATAATTTCCCACTTGAAACTATAGTAGAACATGTCCAAGTTATATTAAGATTTTTATATTGCTCTGTTAGTTTTATATTCCTTTATGCTTCTGCTTGCTTGCATACAACAAGAAAATGAAATCCAAAATTAAATGCAGAGTGATTTCATATATTTCTGAAATATCTATACCTACATATTTATATCTATATCTATAGGTAGTCTTCAATTAACAGTCATTGGCTTAGTGACTGTTCAAAGTTACAACAGCACTGAAAAAAGGGACATGACTTTTGCAGCTTCCCCATGCTCACATGATCAAAATTCGGACACTTGGCAACTGGCATGTATTGATAATGGTTGCAATGTCCCAGGGTCATGCAATCATTTTTGTGGCTTTCTGACAAGCAAAGTCAATGAGGAAGCCAGATTCACTTAACAAGCATGTTTACTCACTTAATAACTGTCTTGCTTATCAATGGAAATTTTGAGCTCAGTTGTGGTCATAAGTCAAGGACTACCTGTATTTATATCTATATCTAGCTAATAACAAGCAATATATATTTCTCATTATTTCTTTAAAAATATTTTAGTCCAATAATGTCAACCACTATGAGCTGGCAAGCTTAAAAAATAAGAACTACATGGATTCTGTTCTTTTTTCCAGGTAGGTAATCTAACAGAATTGTGAAGGCTACAGAAGAAATTCAGCCACGTAACATATATACATAAAGCAGAACTATTCTCAATTTCTTTTCCATTCCGCCCCCCACCGTATCATGGGCCTATTTTCTCCTTACTATCTCATCACTGCCAAGTATTCCATCAAAAATAAAAATACACTGAGAAAATATTCTAACTGCATTTTAAAGGCATTTAGAACTATTTCTGTCTCTCAACTTTTAATTGGCGAAGGGTGGAATAAATTCAAAGCTACTGTAAATGAAGATTAGAATAGCAATTAAAGCATCCTATGAAAGATATGATGAAAAAAGGAGGACATTGAGTGATATTTTAAAAAAATAATAAGTGCTAACCTGAACCAAAAATAATTATAACAGCAATGACTAATGTTAGCATTTCACCCATCAATGTAAACACTCTCCACTCACAAGAACACTTTTCTCTCACATACACACAAGGCACTAAAGACTTGACTGTTCCCTCAGGCATTTGGATCTTGAGGTTAAGCAAATTCTGCCGGTTGACTAATTTTATTGGTGTTTTTCTTCTGTTTCTAAACTTTACTTATTTATGGTCAATGATCAGCAAAGTAGTTACAACACTAAATAAAACATCTAAAAGCAGGTTCAAATGAAATGAAAAGAATAAAACCCTAAAGACCTGCCAGTTAAAATTTACATGTAAGAAAATAAGCAAAGCAAAGCAAAACAAAACAGATTGTAACAATACATTTAAAATAAAGATTATAGGAATATTTTCATTATATCTTTCTAAGGTTTAGATATCTTAAGCCTTCTAAATGCACTAACTTCCAATAAAGACTTTGGAATTCTATGATAGTGGGGTTCAAATCTGAGAGTGGAACTCAACTACCTCTGCCTGATTAGAAACTTAATCTCTACAAGAAGGAGTTATGGGTATATTAGTGTATAGGTACTCATAAAAGCAATGGTGCCCTTTATTTACTCATGCATTGGTCACTTCATTATTGGATTATTGCAATGTGTTCTACATGGGATTGCTCTCAAAGACCACACAGAATCTACAGATGGTTCAAAGAGGTGCAAGCAGTAAGGGTTGCCTCTTGGTGTGGGCATGTTTTACCATTTATGTGTGAGCTGAATAGTTGCCAGTTGGCTTCTGAGTGCAGTTGAAGGTGCTGGTTATTACCTGTAAAGCCCTGTATGGCATAGGACCTGGAAAATGGGAGACCACTTGTTCCTATTTGTCTTGCAATCCTAGTACATTCCAGCAAAGTAGGTGCTCTTCCATTAAATATTTCCATCTTGTAGGACCTAGGAAGTGTGCCTTATATGTTGCAGCCCCCTCCCTCTGAAATAGCATCTCTTCAGAGAGAAGGATGGTGCCATATCTCCTAGGGTTCCAAAATGTTTGTAAAACAGGTTTTGGTCCCAGTCCTGGAGTTAAGGTTTGCTATTTGTATAATGCCCCCTATTTGCTTTATGGATTTTGTTATTATAACATTTGAGTCTGGGCTGCCTATTCATCTTAGCTTTTCTGTTTCATTTTTAGTATTGTGTGCCACCCACAGTTGGGTGGCCAATAAATTTAATATTCATTACGGCCACCTGGTAATTTCTCTCACAAAATGACTTTTATTTCCCTTTGTAAATTGGGAACATTCCTTTCAATCTTGGACATTTGTGATGTAGATTATTATTTATTATTTTGGTTTTAACTTTTTGTATGCCTCCCAGAGTCATTGCTATGAGATTGGTAACCATCTTCTAAATCATTCAAATAAAGGAATAAAGGATAAACAACATTTGTTTCTTTCTCTGCACCCTCAATTAATACATTAGGTGGGATGTTTAGGGTTTTTTTTTCTAGCAGGTAATCAGTTGCCTTACAATAGACTTAAAATTTGCACCTGTAGTTGCCAAGAAAAGGAAAAAAGCCTTGGAATTTTGCCCTAGAATCATCAGATTGTTCTGCCCCCTTATTTCCTTTCTGCCCAAGCTATTCTGCCTCAATAATAAGCAGACTCCCTGGACACCAGCCAGGTCAGTATTATACCTGCACATGCTCTTCTGTTTCCAAATCTGATGCCATGAAAAGTCAGGAGAGTAGAGATACCATATCTGGGCTGTAAAAATCCAGACAACCAAAAGAGGGAAGCAAAGAGATAAGAAAGCTTCAATTAATAGCTGCCATCTATTAGTTACTCAGATTTCCTGCAGTCCAGAAATTGTTAATCTTATTTGGTGGTGGTGCGGGGTGCTTTCGAGTCACTTTATGATTCCTGGTGACTTTCTGGACTAATCTCTGCAGTGGGCAAGGCTTTTTGGCATTGCACTCTTTCAAAACCTGAGCTAGAGTGACCCAGCTGGTTTTGTGCCTAAGGCAGGACTAGAACTCACAGTCTCCCAGTTTCTAACTGACATCTTAAACTACTATACCAAACTGGCTGTCATATGCTGTATAGTAGAGGAAACAAAACACAACAGACAAAGAAAAAAGAGTAAAATATGCGAAGGGTGGAAATACACAAAAAAATCTGGACCATTCACCACAGTTTTGGTCATCTGACCATCTTATGAAGGATTCTGGATTTTTTTTGTATACACTAAGCCATGGAACCTAAATTGGATTAAAGATATGTATCATTAGTGAGGTCCTGCAGCTTCTTCTATTCTTCTGTTCCTAGAAAAAGCTTAATCCTATCTTATGTAGCATGAAGTAAACCAAATGAGTACCTAAACTGACTCCCAGCAGCATCTGGTGATAGTGTAAAGATAATTAGACAAGATTCAATTAGAATATGTGCTGCCTAAAGGTGCTAGACACAGTATACCCAGGGCTCACATAGCACAGGCTTCTTTATAACTTTTCATCAAATTCAGGACAATAAATGGAATAAATACGAAGTGTCAGAAACTCAGCTTGAATATTGGAATGTTTTTAGCATTATGACCATGCTTTCAAAGGGAATTTTTAATAACCATAAAATATTTACTGGTAATGGGTAGTCCTTGACTTACAATCATTTGTTTAGTGAAAGTTTAAGGTTATAACAGCACTGAAAAAAGTGACTTATGACTATTTTCCACACTTGCAAATGTTGCAGTATCCCCATAGTCACATGATCAAAATTTGGATGCTTGGCAACAGCATATATTTAGGACAATGGTAATATCTTGGGGTCATCACCTTTTGCGATCTTCTGACAACGGCAGGGATTCACTTAACTGTGGCAAGAAAGGTCTTAAAATGGGACAAAACTCATTTAACAACTGTCTTTCTTAGAAATGGAAATTTTGAGCTCAGTTATGGTCATAAGTTGAGGACTACCTATAGTCATTGACTTACAATAAGCCACCTGGCAACCATTCAAAGTTAGGACCAATTTGAAAAAGGGGTTCCAACAGTTGGATCCCCCCACAACGATCACACGACTACACTTCAGACAATTGGTAACATCACTGCATCATTTGCAGTGCCCTGGGCTTACATGACCATGGTTTATAACAGTTTTGCTTAACAGGGGCGCTTATTTTTTGGCAAAACTGTATCCATAGTGAGCAGTGGATTCATTTAATGACTGTGGCGATCACTTAATGACTGTGGTGTTTGCATTTTCAATTATGGCATTTGCTTAACTGTTGCATAAAAAAACCCAGGTTGATCACATGACCAATCTGTTTTATGACTGTTACAACTTTTAACAATAATGGCCAGGCTCCATTATGGTTGTAACTTCAGAACTACCTGTCTTAGTGGTTTAAATAACTGATATGGCATATTTTTCACTGGGCATATCAAATTTTCCTCATCACACATTCAATACATTTTGCTTTCTAACAACTATTTTAAAAAGTTGTTCAAGAATTTCCACATTATATGGAACTTAAACTATGAAATTCATATTATATAGACATCATATTATGTTATATCTGAATATAGCAAGAATAATTTCATCCAGTATTCAATATGAAACCAGAGCTGGTCAGCTGCTTTGGAGAAATATTTATGTACGATTTAAAAGTATTCTTCATTCATTCTTAGTCCTAGGAGTTACATTTGGAGCCATATTATTTTTGAATCTGACATCTCATGTAAGTGTATAAGGGTTTGTGAATGGTACTGTGCTTGCATTAAGAGTATAAATCGATGAAGTCCAATAGTAAATCAAATTCAAAGCAATCATCTGCCTCTTGAATAAACACTGGACATTTCTTATACAAACAGAAGTAAAAATCATATTTATAAAACAGATTCAACCATTTAAATCAGTGGTTCTCAACCTTTTTAATGCCGCGACCCCCAACCGGTCGTACGTCAAGGACTACCCAACCGGTCGTAAGTCGAGGACTACCCAACCGGTCGTAAGTCGAGGACTTTCCCTGCCTGGGAGTGCCGTGCATGCATGGTGCCTCCCCCTGCGCCGGCCGAGGCGTAGCTGGCAAGCGGCAGAGACGGTGCAGGCCGACCACCGGCTGGGCCACCAGCTGGCCCAGCCCAAGGGAGGTAAGGCACCCGCCGGGCCCCACGCATGCCAGCCTCCCACCTCTGGCCCTCTTTTACTTAAATTTTTAGTAGTTGCTCAGCAGGGAGGGGTGGAAGCTTCCAGACAGCTCGCGTTCACTGCAGACAACTTGCAGCACCGTTTGCAGACTGGGATTTTTGGCGGGCTCAGCAGGGCAGAGACAGCCTGGACAATTCCTATTGGCTTTTGAAAGCCAATAGAATTAGACTCTATTCAAAAGAGTCTATTCTATTGGCTTTCAAAAGCCAATAGAATAAAAGGGAGTAGCACAGCTAAGGAAAAGGGGGAAAAAATGGCAGACTGCATTGTTTGATGACCCTCGTGAAATGGTCGTTCGACCCCAAATGCGGTCCCAACCCACAGGTTGAGAACCACTGATTTAAATTATCATTAACCCTTCTACCCCTAAAGTGTAATTCAAACATGCTTCATAAAAACAATGCTGAAATTAACATACCAAGCTTGTTATAAAGTGAGCAATATTTGTATACATCAGGCTTCTGGAATCTAGTGCCTCCAGATATGTTGGGAATTAAATATATGGTTGAATTATCTACTGATTATAGCAGCTATAGTTGAACACATCTGAAGACACCAGGTTTGGGAAGGAAGTGTACATTAGTTGAGCTTGATTAATATACATTTTAACTTTACCAAGCCTATCAAACTGTGGTTGGATTATAAAAGCAATTTATATTCTTGAAAAACATTTTTGCAAACTGTCAAGGCATGTCTATTTATACACAGTATATGCAGTCTCCTATAACGTGTATAGGAAATAAATACATAAATCTTGCATTTATAACCAGAAATGTGATTCCTGGAATATATTGCTTGAGATTCTCTGATGACACTTGTTCCAAATTACATCTAAATGACAGGCTGCATGAAACTCTATCAGGGTGAATGCCTTTTTATAATAGATTATGATTATGAAACAATCCCCGAAGAGAATTTTGTAATTCCTTTCTAAAAGTAAACCTACTTATTTTAATATTGAAAACTGCCAAGATTTGCATGAATAGCAGTTCTGAAACAAATCAATAGTTCTTAGGCATTTATAAGGCTCAACTATAAAATTCTTGAATCCTTATAAAAAACAAGGTACAACAGAAGTTAAACAAGTTATTGAAAATGAAAGCATATTTAGGTGACAATATAAAAGCAACAATTAAAATATATGCAATTATTCACCATTGGCTATCAGGGATACAAACATACCATCCATTTGTACATTTTGTCAAATCTCCCTATGTTCAATGGAGTTTATCACTGTGAGTATATCTTAGATTGCAACTTTCACTCCTCCACTTAGGAGAAAGAAACAGCATCACAGAGAAGAACATGCCTTCTACAAGGATCCACTGATAAATGACAGAATAGTCACTGTGCAATAAACCCGTCAAAAATTGTTTTGCTCTGAAACGTTGATATTCCGCCAAATGATAATTATTCTTTTAACCCATGCAAAGTTTGAAATGCAGAGTTTCAAAATACATACAAAAACAAGTAATAGGAGTGAGCCAAAGAAACATTTGAGGAAAAGACTTGGGGGGATGTGTGTGTGTGTGGGTGCTCTCCTACCTTGGTTAGCTGAGCTATTTTCTTGCTCATTTTGAGATGGAGATCCTGGTTGTATTCCATGCCGAAATGGGAGGACATCGCTGAGGAAGACGAGCCGGTGTTGAATTTCCCAGTGCTGGTCGAAGAACTGCCGCTGTAATAGTGCTGCTGCCAGCTCATCCCTGGTGTCGCCATCTTCCCCAGCAAAAGAGACCCCGTTAACGGATCTGCCAGGCACCAGGGGAGGAAGAGGATAGCGAGGATGAAAAGCAAATGTAGGGAAAGGGAGGGAGGATTGAGACAGGGAACTACCGCTCTGGGCAAGAGAGGGAAGGTGCCAAAAAGAAAGCGGGGAGGTAAAAATTCCTCATCCCCTTTTTTTTTCAGGGACGCGCGCGCGCGCAAACACACGCACACAAAAAGCCAGCCCCTGGCCCTCGCTGTCTTCTCTTTCGGGCCTTAAGTGGTCATTTTGGCCTTTTCTGCACCACTGTCTTATTCGGCTGGGAGGAGAGAAAGGGGGGGGGGAAACAAGGGCCCTACAGTCTCTCCTCCCCCGTTTCGCCCTGGTGAGAGAGGCGGGTATTTGGAGAGAAAGAAAATTATCCCCAAAGTGTGAGCTTCTCCGTTCAATGGATGTATTAAAAAATAGCCTCCTGCAGACCCCTCCCCCCTCCGGGAAGCCCCGGCAGTCCCTTCCCTTTCTCCCGTCGAGAGATGGCGGGGAAGGAGGTGTGTGTGGGGGGAAAGGTGGTCCCCGCTCTTCCTTCACCGGAGCATCGCTCCCCGCGGGACTTTTTTTTAACACCCGCGGAAGGAGAAGGACCCCGAGCAGAGCTCTTTCCTGCAGCCGGCCTGCGCTTCCAGGGCTCCTCTCTCTTTTCGACGCAAAGTTTAAAAAAAAAACACACACAAAACAGAAGGAGCCGCGGCAAGCTCGCGCTCCAGACCCACCGTCGCCAACCGACGGTTACCAGGGTCCCACCAAACTGTTTACACCTTGCGGGTAACGTCATTTCCGGCTCTGTCGGCCTCTCGTCTCCGCCCCCTTTCAGAACCTCGGAAAGAGGCTTTAAAAAAAAAAAAAAAAAAAAAAAGAGTCGCTCGCAGGGATGGAACGCTTTGCGTGCCCGTCAGGTTGTGGATACATCCACGCTAAGGTTGGGGTGGGGGGTGGGGAAGGGAGTAAGGAATCCCTCTGGGTCTTCTGTGGATGTCACTCTAGAATCTGCCGCTCCCTCCTCTCCTCCTGGCGTCAGGCCTAAAGAGCAGTCAGCTTTGTTTCCTGGGCTGCAATCAACAATGACAGATGTAACTAGGCTCAGACTACTCTGGTCTCCACAAACAGCAATCGCCAAGAAAGACAATCTCTCTCTCTCTCTTTCTCCCTTCCATCCCTCAGGCTTTTTTTACTTGGCTCTTGCTGCTTTGGAAGAGGTGTACTACACACCCTTCTCGGATCTGCTCTCTGCTAGGTTGTGCAAGTTGGAGCATGAATGAAACACCTGGGTTTGAATGGCTACATGGGCAACTTTGTTTATTAGATTGAAAAGGCTGTCCAACTCAACACTGATTTTGGGAAGCATGCTGATTAAAAATAGATGCATTGCTTAAGAATAAAAAAAAATAGTAAACATGAATATGTGAAGGACACACTGCACTCCAGATGGGCATGGCCTAATTGGTCTCATAATTTGGGGAAAATAATAGGTCAGCGATTGTTTAAAAGCTTGCAGGATTGGAGCAGTCTGAATCTCCAGGGGGATGCTACTCTAAAAACAGGCACTGTGGCAGAGAAGGTGCACTTCCTAATGCCATCAAATGACATTGCTTAATGGATGGGACACAAGGCAACTTTGCTATGTCAGATCTTATGAGCGAGGCAGAAATGATGGGACTGAAGCATTCCAAGGCATAGATATTGTATATCTGAGTAAGGGCTTTATATTTCGTAAACTGCATCTTGAATTGTTTATGGAAGCTCACTGATAACCAGTGCACCTCACACAGCAGAAATGTTCCCTGGGTGTACTGAGGTGAGCCCAGAATTGCTTATACCTTTGTGTTCTGGATCAGCTGTAGCTTCCTTGTGGTCTCAAAAACAGTCCCAGGTAGAGCACATTACAAAGTGACCCAGACCTGAATGACCATGAGACTCCTGGTCCAAGAAAGGACATATTTAGCACACCAGATGAATCTGTGAGAAAGCCCTTCCAGCTAAATTGCCACCTGGTCTTCAAGCAAGGTGTGATGGATTGTGGCTATGAAGGGGGAAGTGTTGTGATGAGCTGCAGTGAAAAGACAGTTTTCCAAGAAGGAGGGTGCACATTCCAAGGAGATGGATGAGACAAGAGACAATACAGTCCAAGGCTGGATTGGAGACAGAGGAAGAGGTTTAGGATAGCTGCTCCCTAGAGTCTATATCTGTCAAGATTAGATTAGTATAGATTTAGTCTGACAAGATTCTGTCTTTATAATATAAACAAATAAAGAACTGGATTGTTCTGTGTTGTTCTTGGGCTGGGCCTGTCACAAGAGCTGAGAACCCCCAAACTGTACACATATTCTTTAAAAGGTTGTGCCACTTCATTCAAAATAATAGACAGAGAATTGTAGCATCAGACGAACCATGCATCCCTAGTTCTTTAGTCTTATCAGAGTTAAGTTTAAGCTTGCTTTTCCCCATTCAGATCTGAAGAGCCTTCAAGTACTGGGACAAGACCTCCACAACATTACTGGAGTGACCAGATACTTGGTTAAGTATCTTCATCATACTGATGATCCCTAACCTCATTCAGTAGATGATACCCAGAATTCCCATGAAGATGTTAAACATCAGGGATGAGAGTGCCAAGGCTTAGGTGCCCTGCAAACTAAGGGCTTTGGACCGGATTTTTTTCTCATCAATCAACACTGATCATAATGTAAAAAGGAGGAAATTCAGCACAGTACTATGCCTTCTGCTCCAAAACCACATAGCTGGCCCAGAAGGATACCATGATTAAAGGCCACTGAGAGATCAAGAAGAAGAACCAATATTTTTGCTGCAGAAAAGGCTTTGTATGTATGCATGCATGTGCACATCGAGACAACTGGGAACAAGTTTAGAAGCAGCATGATAAATGATGTGGCTGCTTTAATGAAAGGAGGGCTGAACCCACAGGGTAAAGATTTTAGGGATCTTTAGATTCAGAGTCTCTGCAGTCACAAAAACAGCAAATGGCAAACCATGTGGCATACTTTCATAATGCAAGCTTTGACTTTTTGTAGTTACAATCCAGTGTTTCAAACAAATACAGGATAATTTAAAACAAAAAATATGTTTGAATTGGAGACCATGAGGCAATTATACTGAAGTTCAAATTGACTGGCCTAAAAAGGGAAGAAGTTACCTAATCCTTATTTTTATAGATGTATGTAACTTAAGGGTATACATGTGAATGAGCGTAGAAGATAGGTATTTAATTTGGTATATATAATTGCAGAGTATTTGATTGGATGTAGCACATCATGTATCTTGTGACGTCAGTGAGGCTAACTAGAGTATAAACTAAGTGGTAATAGGCAGGAATACAAAGACAATGGGAGTTTTGAATAAGCAAAAGGGAAATATTTCATGAATATATGAAATACAGTTTTTTATGGAGAGTTACTGATATGAGAATTCTCAAACTGTTCCTGATTCCAAAGTCTATGTTTACCTCCTAGTTTCTTTTCCTTATCCTTATCAGTATTCCTTAGCCTTCCAAATATTTTATGGCTAAACTGATGGTTTAATTCCTCTGTAAGGATGTATTTGACTTTTAGCTTGATCTCCAATATTCCTCTTCATAAGCTTGGTTAGATGGAAATTACAGGCTTCAGTAGTTGCTGGTATACAAGTTCAGCAAAAGGTTATTCTTATTCTCAGGTATGATCTGCTTAAGCTGGTGTTTTCCAAGCCTGGGTAAATTACTCAAATTGTGTAAAAGTGGTTTTTCTTTGGGTAACAACACACAAACCCGTTATCCAATCACAACAAGGACATTTAAATTGAGTTAAAGTGTTAAAGTATTTTACTTACATTAAGTGGTGGGATCCAAATATGTGAACAACCGATTCTCTGTGTGGATGCCGCTTCTGGAAGTCCATTCAGGGCCTGGGTAACAAAAAATTAGCTACGGTTCTGTCGAAGTGGTGCGAACCGGCTGAATCCCACTACTGGCACACATTGGATGAAAAGGACTTTCTGATAAATGGTTTTGGGTAAATATAAGCTTGGGAAGCAGTGCTTTAAGTGCTATCATGCATGCCACTGTGCTTTCCCACAAAGTGCTTTTCTTTATATAATTACCTATATCCATTGGAAGTACCTACTATAGAGCCTCTAGCATTTACCCATAGGTTATAAGGCTTTTATTAAATATACTAATTGGATTTACCTGAGAAGATGAATGACCACCAAGCACTTTTAAGAAAAAGTGATCAATCTTAATACGATTCAAAACATGTTGAAATATTATAGATCCTTCTGAGGAAAAAAAGAACTGGATATTTTCTCCACTTTTGTTTTTGTCTTGTTTTCTTTAGTTTCTTAAAGTCCACCAAGAGCACTTTGGCCGGCTGCTAAGAATAGTTTTCATGTGCAGAGTCTGTAACTTTAAAAAGACTTTTTAAAATTTAAAATTGTCTTCTTTCAGTTACTGGGCAATATGAATAAATACCAGTCCTTCTCAAATGTTTCATACTTTCAACAAAGTAATTAAAAAATATGATGAGGCCATTTTGAATTATAGTAGAATATATGAATAGGAAGGAATAAATCATGTCCAAAATGGACAATTTCCTTGTAACAAGGTTTGAAAAGTAGAATGACCAGTCAAAAGGTTCATTAAAAACAAAGAGGAATTGAGAAATAGTAATTCTAAATGTCTTCCAGAATTTCAGAAGGGCAAGGGATCATGCATACTTCTTTGTTTTTAAAATTTAAACAGGAAATCAAATTGACTTTTATTAAATAACTTTAAAAAGATTATAAACAGGCTAAAATATTACAATGTGTCCATATAAGTGATTTGTATAGTCACTTTTAACTATAAAGATGTGGCTGGGTGCACATATTTTACACATGCATATACCACTGGCTATTACTTTAATCAGGGACTTCCTTACTAATATGCTTCTTAGAAAACAAAATTAATCAGAGATTCAAAGCTGTTAAAACAGCAACTGGAATGGAATGTTCTCCTTTTTCACTCCCAGTCCCCAAAGCTGGCTCAGAGGGATACCATGATTATCCACATCCTGAGCCCCGCAAATGCAACCAATGTGGTCTTGGTATTGAACTCTGACCTGAACCCAGACCGGAAAGCGTCTAGATCAGGGGTAGGCAACCTTGGCTCTTTTATGACTCATGGACTTCAACTCCCAGAATTCCTGAGCCAGCCATGCTGGCTCAGGAATTCTGGGAGTTGAAGTCCACGTGTCATGAAAGAACCAAGGTTGCCTACCCCTGGTCTGGATGATCTACTTCATCCAGGGCTTGTTAAAAAAAAAAAGGTTGGAAACTGGATGAAAATTGACAAAAGTGTTGAGTCCAAGGAGAGGCATCTTGGGGTGCACCACCATCTTTTTTAAGGTGATCAGTATGTAAATTACCAAAGATTCCCTTCTATGTAATATATAGACCCAATACCATACTACTTCATTATCTTGGTTAGAATAACCATGTCTACAATCACCATCAGGCTCACTGCTCTATGGTAGCTCTTTTGTTTACAGTCAAAAAGCATTATGGATTAATCTGAATTTGTTTCTCCTCATTTAAGCCCTTACAGACTCTCTACAGTCTCTAGATACTAGTTCAAAGATCCCATGGGGGTAGCCAGTCTGGGGTAGCGATGTATAACTAATATGCAGATTGATGTCCTAATATTTACATGTGTTAACTAAATATTATTTAG